TGACACTTGAGATTTCATCTGAAATGAATTGTTACATCTGGCAAAGACACCAAAAACTAAAACACTAAATCCAAAAATCCAACAAGGTATATAATTTAAGGGGAAGGGTTTACTTTTCTAGCTACAAGCTCTTTCTCTTATAAAAGACATTTTATGTGGGACTGATAGAATTTCTAAACCTAAGAGCTCTTAGAGGTCAAATGTCAAGTTTGTTTTAAATGAGACAAGTTGTGAAGATCTTTCAGCTACCAAACTTTGATGATATCCCATCAATCAATTCTGTGATAAAACTTACTGTCATTTCTGCATATGAGGGCATTGTTTCCAATGAGCACATTCAAAAGATGCCTTCTACCAAACAACAAACTTACTGTAACCTGCTTCATTCATGTATCAAAAAAAAAATGTATGCAGTCCTTTATTGTGAAAGCATCTTAGTGCAGACCCACCAACTAGCTTCCAAACATTCAAGGATTTTTAAAGCAGCACCTCCCCTCCCAACCTGTTTCTTTCAGGAAGTCTTGCTAAGAAGTAAGTCTTCAATCTCATCATATATTTATCTTCTTTTCAACTTTAAGAACCTTTGTTTTATTGCTTCAATGGCACTTGTCTTCCACAATATTGATGTCATTTAAGATGTCGTAACTTCCAGTTTCTTGCCTTTGAATTTCCACCACTATCTGTGAAACCTTTACAGTATTCATCCTTTCACGCAACATATCTGACTGATAGGCACACTGAACTTACTAGCAAATCACTTAACACGAATATGCTTCAGTTCCCCATAACTTTACAAGGTTCTTATATTTAAAACAATACTTGTTACATATGTATGATTATTTGTTTCTACTAATATCTCAATTTACATAATTCAAAATGCTATCATAAGGTGCTTTTGTGAAGTCAAAATTTTATATATATTTAATCCCCCTGCCTAGCTATGTAAAACAGTCGTGTATGTAAAAATGTTCTCGTTGAATTGACTTGCAGTGCTCTGGGGTTGTTTCAAGGAGTATTATAATTGCTCTTCAATCAATTATCAAAATGTTAAGTTGCTAACAGTTCTCAAAATTTTTCAACTAAAACAGGCCCCTAGCAACCAAGGACTCAAAGACAATTTGAAATAGGAATTAAAAATTCTATGCTGTAGCAGCTTTAGTTGGCTTCCATTGCTCAATAAAAGTACTCTCAGGCTGAGGCCTTTAGGATGACCAGAGAAGCAAGAGCAATTGGCCTTATCTGCTGTCGCCTGCTCTCACAGTTAACACAGGAGATACTCATTTGTTTAAATCAGTTCAGGGCTTCACCCCATAGAGCCCCATCTTTCCAAGAAAATTGCATTTAAAATTGTAATGTAATTCTTTTTAAAAAAAATTAACTTATTTGTGTTTGTATGTACATGTGAACACATACGCAATTAGAGGTCAAAGGACCAACTTCAGAAGTCAGTTCTCTCCTTCTTCTGTATGGAGTGCCACGAACAAACTCTGCTCCTAAGGCTTGACAGCCAGCTGAGCCATCTGCAGCCCTCACGGATCTTAGTTTTTCACCTGTCTTACATTTCCTCTACAATGTATCAATGTTGGTTTACATTTAAAGGATGGTTTTCCCCTTTTAATCTCTAATCAAACCAAAGTGCTAAGAAGTTGTACCCATGGTTATTTAGTCTATGATTTAGCCCTGTGGTAGTTAGCACTACTTGATGTTGAGAAAAACAACCTTAGCCTGAGTTTCCTTTAGGACACTGCTTTTGCACCCTTCCAGCAGCAACTAAAGCATTAATCTCAAAATAGCTGATAAGTTAATAATATGACAGTAATAGTTGCACTTTAATAGTTCTGAGGTTTTAAAACTTGTCATATAAATAATATTTATTATATACATGGCATATTATATATATATATATATAATTTTAAATTATGTGTATGTGCACATGAGTGCAGAGGGTATTTTATTACCTGGATCTGGAGTTAAAGGCCATTAATAGTCTCTTTAAAGAAAGCCAAATTTGAATATATTACATTATAGTCATGTATCAACTATATCCTATTGAAGCCTGTAAGTGAATTTCCACTTTTCTCTAATGTGAAGGTAGGCTAGTAGAATACTAGCCAAAATAACCCAGGTAGATTTGTTTTGTTTTACATTTGGTTTTTTGTTTTCTTATTTGTGTGTATTGTGTAAGCATGTATATGCCACACTGTGGTGTAGCAGTTTCTGCCAAGATTGAAAAATACTATCCATCCAAGATTGAAACATATTATCTATCCAAGATTAAAACATATTATCTATCCAAGATTGAAACATACTATCCATCCAAGATTGAAACATATTATCTATCCAAGATTGAAACATACTATCCATCCAAGATTGAAACATATTATCTATCCAAGATTGAAACATACTATCCATCCAAGATTGAAACATATTATCTATCCAAGATTGAAACATACTATCCATCCAAGATTGAAACATACTATCCATCCAAGATTGAAACATACTATCCATTCAAGATTGAAACATATTATCTATCCAAGATTGAAACATACTATCCATCCAAGATTGAAACATACTATCCATTCAAGATTGAAACATATTATCTATCCAAGATTGAAACATACTATCCATCCAAGATTGAAACATACTATCCATTCAAGATTGAAACATATTATCCATCCAAGATTGAAACATATTATCTATCCAAGATTGAAACATACTATCCATTCAAGATTGAAACATATTATCTATCCAAGATTGAAACATACTATCCATCCAAGATTGAAACATGTTATCTATCCAAGATTGAAACATACTATCCATCCAAGATTGAAACATACTATCCATCCAAGATTGAAACATACTATCCATTCAAGATTGAAACATATTATCTATCCAAGATTGAAACATACTATCCATCCAAGATTGAAACATACTATCCATTCAAGATTGAAACATATTATCTATCCAAGATTGAAACATACTATCCATCCAAGATTGAAACATATTATCTATCCAAGATTGAAATATACTATCTATCCAAGATTGAAACATACTATCCATCCAAGATTGAAACATACTATCCAGCATAGACCCTCCTCAAGCTGGCAGATAAACAACTTGAAAGAGCTCCCGGAGATCCCTAAAATGACCATATTCACTAGTCCTACCCCACCCAGTGTTTAAGACAAGCTGAAATGAACTCAGACCAAATAAGCTGACTGGAAGAGAATTAGACTGCGATGCTGGGCTAGGACACTCTCCAACCTGTTGAGCTGCCTGTAGGCTGTGCAGCATGCTCTAAGTTCCCAGCTTTTGGGAGCTGTCACCTATGCTGGGGTGGGTTTTGGTGATTCAGCTGTCTTTGAGCCAGTTTTGCTACTGTAAGTAACCCTTCACCGATATTCTTGAAAGAAACTTCAATAAAATTCATTGGTTTACCAAGTTGGACTTTTGTGCTATATGTACTTTGGTCTGTCACAAACTCCCCATCTGGGGTAAGTAGGCCTGTGTTGTGTCCCCAGGAAAAGCTTTGTCACAAACACACATCCTGTGTGTGAAGATCACATAACAATTTTTCCTTACTCATTTCTCTCCTTCTACCATGTGGGTTCCAGGGATTAAACTCAGGACAAACATCTTTGCATGCTGAGCCATCTCAAGGGCCTTGTTTTGCTTTTTGAGATGATATTTTTAGCCGAAAACTGATAGAGACCCTCTCACAATGGCCATGCTACAAGGAATTACAGGCATGGGTCCTCACACCCACTTTAAAACTCATACACTTTTAAATACAATGCTAACATACTCAACAAAGGTGCTCCTGTTAAAATACTAGTCATCTTTCCCCTATAAACTTCTCAATATTGCCAGGCGGTGGTGGCGCATGCCTTTAATCCCAGCACTCGGGAGGCAGAGGCAGGCAGATCTCTGGGAGGTCGAGGCCAGCCTGATCTACAAGAGCTAGTTCCGGGACAGGCACCAAAAAGCTACAGAGAAACCCTGTCTCGAAAAACAAAACAAAACAAAAGTCTCAATATTATATTAATACCCTACTATCCTGGGATCTGTTTGTGATATATATATAGATATATGTATATTATATGCATAATATATGCATAATCTACATACATATATAAAATGTATATCATATATACATATCTATCAAACAATGAACAGTTATATAAAAATAAATTTATAATGAGTATTTTCTGGTATTAATCCTGAATATATGAACAAATTATAAGTCCTCTTTATTCAAAGTAAGTTTTCACTGTGTTTGTCTTTTAAAAAGCAAGTTATGGGGGTTGGAGAGATGGTTCAACAGTTAGGAGCACTAGATGCTCTTCGAGAGGTCCTGAGTTCAATTGCCAGCAACCAACCACATGGTGGCTCACAATCTGTAATGAGATCTGGCGCCCTCTTCTGACCTGCAGGCGTACATGCAGGTGGAACACTGTATACATAATAAATACATCTTTGAAGAAAAAAAAAGAGACAGATTCGGGCAAAATAAATAAATAAATAAAACAAGCTATGAGCTGGGCATGGTGACACATGAGTGTGAGCCCAGCTCTTTAGAAGCTGAAGCAGTAGGATTATTGAGTTCTAGGCCAGCCTAGGCTTAATAGTAAGACAAACAAAACTAATAATAATAAATTTTTTAAGTTATACTTTGAAAATTTGGTAATCTGCTGCCTTGCCATATATAAGCACAAGTGGATATAGACTTATTTTGAAATTCATGCAATGACTGTATCCATGCCCAGCGATCCTCACTAGAGGGGAGTTCCTGGGGTGGAGGAAATACAGCAGGAACCTCGCCCTGCCCCTCGCTGCCCCTCAGAGAAACCAGTGGAGAGTGGGAAGCAGAAGTTTAGGACCCTGGACAGTGCTGAGGCCTTGGCAACCACCAGCGAAGCCTGTGACCTTGCGCTGGGGCCTGGGAGGTGGCGACAGGCAAGGCCCACGGGACTGGGTCTCAACCGGAGCGCACACCTTACCGTGAGCCCCCGACCCAGTTCATCTCTCTAGAGCTTCCCGTGTTGGGCCCTCGCAGTTCGACAGCAGAGCCACACAGCCAGATAGCCGCCTGGACTTCTCCTGACAGCCTCTGCGTGAGGGCGTTTTTCTTCCGGTGTGGCACCAGGTCCCACTCCATGCACTTCCGGCTAGGCGCCCATGGCCACCCGGCTTTGTGTCCGTTTCTGTGCTGGGCCATCAGCTCACCCGGTGTCTTGGAAAGGCGGCCCTCTACCCATATCTGCATGAGTAGCTGACATTGCCATTCCAGCTTGTCACACCGATCCCACATTCTTGGCCTGAATTTGCAATACGGTCTTAATATTTAGAAAGGATTGTTGAGAAGAAACATCACGCTGTACGAGCTTAACTGTTGCATGCATTTTGTGAATTCCGCAGAGTCTTAATGGGCTTCGATTAGCTGTCAAAGTCCTAAGACATTAAATTCCTTTCTGAGGAAACACAACAACAAAATCCCAAAACAAAAGTTGGATTTTTCTGCTCATTTCTGTGTGGTTTCATAGTCTTCACAAAACAGTTCCCTCATTGAGAAATTTCTTGTCCCGAATAAATGTACAAACTTTTATTTTTCAAATTGCCATGACTTTTTATCCTGAAAAACTATCAAAATAGAAGTTGTTAAGAAATAGTACCTAGAATAAATATATCTTCTTTAAAAGCATTAATCCTATTTTTTATAATAAAACCCACATGTTATATGTAATTTAATCAAAAAGGTGAATTCCGCATTTCAAAAAATCATGGAATGCCTCTTGATTTTTAGGTAACCTTCATCTTCCTACTTATGTTTTAAAACTATTGACTAACTAAAAGGGGAAACTTTTTTTTTTTTCCGAGACAGGGTTTCTCCGTAGCTTTTTTTTTGGTTCCCGTCCTGAAACCAGCTCTTCTAGACGTGGTGGTGCACGCCTTTAATCCCAGCACTCGGGAGGCAGAGGCAGGCGAATCTCTGTGAGTTCAAGGGGAAACTTTTTAGCTAATACATTATCTTGTTTTTTTTTTTCTTTTTCTTGAAGATACACAAAAAGTCTGCTTTTTTGCTGAGGAAAGTGAAGGACTGAAAACCTAGATAAATTATTTCTTCTTCCTGAATGAAGTCCTTTTGTTTCTATACTCAAAGGGGTGCAATGGGAATGTGAACCAGGCTACAGATTAACACTGAGACACAGGCTTAAACAAGATATTGCCAGGGTTGCCTTCACAGAAAATGGTATCTCCCTAGGAATATGGGTACAGTTGAAATATTGAGTTAAGATGTTAGGGTCAATGTTGTTTATGCCTTTAATAAGTAAGGCTAGCATAACTGATACATAGAGTTTTAACACCATATCTAAGGGCCAAAATTTCAATTAAGTAATCATTTGGGTTTTAAGTCTATTCAAGAAAATAATGTTGTATAAATAAAATATGATTTATTTTTGAGAAGAAAAAAATCACTCAAACTTCTTGAAACTTTAACAATTTATCTTTTATTTCTAAAGATAGATTGCTGATTTATAATAGGAGCATAAACACACTGTGTCATATATTTCTCTCTATAATAGTTCTCTTCATTAGAAAGATGTTTCATATTTTATGAAACATTATATTTATAATATATATGTTTCATGTTTTATAAACATATGTATATGTTTATATGTATATATATATATATGATTTTTAATTCTGCTCTTGATACTGGTGATCCATGAGAATATCACACTTTTTAAAACCAAGTGATTTAATTACTGCATTTAGGAAAAGAATTTAATTTTTTTTATTTTATTTGTGTGAATGGGTGTTTTGCCTGTACATATGTGTGTGTACCTCTTTCATGCCTAACTATCCTCAGGGGCCATAAGAAGGAATGGGGTCCCCTGGAACTGCAGTTACAGACAGTTGTGAGTCACCATGTCGATGCTGGAAAACTGGGTCCTCTGCAAGAGGAGTAAATGGTCCTAACTGCTTATCTAGCCATCTCTCTAGCCTTCTGCATTTATAAATTTTAAAAATTAATGCAAATATTTTCCTCAGTTATTTTCCCCCTTGATAAAATGTTAATATTTCCCATGTGAAATTACATAAAATTTAGAAGCTTGAGTGGAAATTTAATAATGCTTACTATAATAACAAGTGGTTTTTTTTCATTTCCATTTTCGCTTCTAATCTGGAATTCAAACTAAAATTAAATTTCTCATCGCTTTAATTACTACCAATATAAAAAAAAATTAAAAGAACCCCCCTAGCAATTGTTGTGGAATACTAATTTAAGATGTGTTATATTCATTTATTCTGTGGAACGTTTGTTTAATGATGCAAAAATCTATTACATTCTTTTATGTTGCATTTGTTTAACTCTGTTAAGCTGTGTAACTTTGCCTGTCTAAAATACCTGATTGGTCAAATAAAGAGCTGAATGACCCATAGCAAGGCAGGAGAAAGGATAGGTGGGGCTGGCAGGCAGAGAGAAATCTGGAAAGAAAAGGTCAAGGAGCAAGAACAAGGTGAGAAAGAAAATAGGGGCCAACCACACAGTCAGCCACGGAGTAAAAGCAAAAGTAAGATACACAGAAGTAAGAGGGGAGGGAAGAGGGGGGATGGCCAGGGGCAAAAGGTGGGGAGCAGTAATTTAAATTAAGCTAGAAACAAGCCAAGCCAAGGCCTGGAATATATAAGTAAAAATAACACTACTTGTGTGTGTGTATTTATTTAGGACCTGGATGGTGGGACCCCCCCAAAAAGTGAAAGAGCAAAAAGTGAAAACAACCCATTACAAAGTAATCTTAATGTTTTACTTTAAAAAGAATATGTAATCATATATTGTTTAACAATGGGAATAAATTTTGAGCATTCATTTTAGATGGTTTTATCATAGGTCAAACATAAAGAGAACTTGCACAAAACTAGTTAGAACAAATAAGTTATTTTGTATGCTCCCTTGAAGCAACTAACTAAGAGATACAATTACATGAGAAATATGAAACTTTTAAATAGTCAGGGTTAGGGCCGGGCGATGGTGGCGCATGCCTTTAATCCCAGCACTCGGGAGGCAGAGGCAGGTGGATCTCTGTGAGTTCGAGACCAGCCTGATCTACAGAGCTAGTTCCAGGACAGGCTCCAAAGCCACAGAGAAACCCTGTCTCGAAAAACCAATAAATAAATAATAAATAGTCAGGGTTACCCTGCAAAATAGCAATTAAAATAGTATAGTAGATACATGAACCAGTAACAGTATCATAATAAGCCAGTATATGGGGTTTAGGTTGCGCTATGTTCAAGAGCACAGTAAGTCACTTTACTACATAATAGATTCAAATTCACAAGTAATCCTTTATGCTATGACATTTACGGTTACAATGGCTGCAATAAGCAACAGGAAAAATTTCATTTCTTCATTTTTCGCAGGATCACATAAATATGGTCCATTGTTGACTGGAATGTTTTGTGGAATTTTTCTATCTTATTTATTCTCATGTAGAATCCTTCCTTTGCCCTATCTGAAGCCTTGAGCCTAGTCTTAAGTCTTAGTTCCCACTCTTCCCCATTTGAAGACAGTGCAGGGCAGAGGATAATAGTGAGATTTAAATTATCAACTTCTGTGCCAAATTGGCTCATGCTCAACTCAAATTGCACACTGACCATTTTCATAATTCTAATAACCGACTTTCAAGCTCGCTTGCTTGTATCACAATTTTTATGCCAAATTCTTGTATCTCGGTTATCTAATTATTCTCACAAGTCTCTTACCTCTGGAATTCAAAGATTGCCCCTGCTAGCCCATTATATCCCAAAATATTCATTATCTGCTCTCTTAGGGTGTCTATTGCTGTGAAGAGACACCATGACAACAGCAACTCTTATAAAGAAAAACATTTAATTGAAATTGGCTTATGATTTCAGAGATTCAGTCCATTATCATCATGGTGGGAAGAGTGTTGGCACATAGGCAGACATGGTGCTGGAGATGTAACTGAGAGTTCTACATCCAGATTCAAGGGAACAGGAAGAGAGAGGGGGGCTGGGTCTGGCATGAGAATTTGAAACCTCAAAGTTGACCCCAGTGACACACTTCCCCCAACATGGCCACACCTCCCAAACATTCCAATGCATGAGTCTGTGGGGGCCATTCCTATTCAGACCACAGACCTACCTACTGCAGCTAGGTGCTGTAGTATTTACATCTTTAGTGTTCTTTCAACTTAGATTTCCTGATTACTCACAAGACTGCTTTTCGTTTGCCAGTGATGAAAGCTACTTCCTCCAACTGCCAGCTGCCATATAACCTAGGCATCCAGCCTGAATGAGCATCCTGCCATTACCCCCAGTTAGGTATATACTGGACCCCCGCCCTCTCCAATTATACTTAACCCATCTATGTTTAGCTACCAGGATGTGTGACATATATGATTCAGTTTTATGTGTGTAAAACAGTCTTATTTCCCACACACCAATAATATGATCTGAAAAATAAAATATTTTTTCAATAACCATGACAACTCAGGGATTTTCACATTTGGGCTCCCGTCAACCTCTCCCCTAGTGTTGTGACTCAACAATCTCAAAACCTTGAGTAAATCTCAGGCATTTGCCACAAAGCCTCACAGCAGCCCAGAAAGTCTTCCTTTTATTTTTAATTTTTTAAGTTAAAATATAGATAGATCCCCATCAAACTTTTCCTCCCTCCAACCTTCTATGTCGCCCAACTGCCTCTCAAATTCATAGCTTCTTTTTCTTTAATTGTTATTGTTAAACTGCATAAATATATAATACAACCTGCTGTGTTCATTTAGCATTGCTTCTATGTATTTGATTTATGATTTCACCAGTGAGCACTTAGTATTGGATAGCCAGTTAAGGAGTTCATCCCTGGGGGAAGACTCTTTCTTCTTCTTTCAGCTCTCCTTAGTTGTCTGTCATTCTTTGTCTAGGAGTAGGGTCCCACGTCCACATTAGCAAGTTTATTGGAGTGGTGTTTGCGCAGATCCTGTTTACGCAGATATATGGTTAAGGGATCTTGAGTAAAGCATTCCTATTGTTTCTAGGGAACATACTCTTAACAGAAGATGTTCTGGTCCTCTGTGTTTTTGTTCTAACTCAACTTTGATGTTCCCTGAACCTTAAAAGCAAGAGATGTGCTGTAGTTGTATTCATTGGCAGCCCAGCAGGTCTTAATAGCAAGACCAAGTACACTGCTAATATGACCAAATACCAATGCTGAGGTCATCTGTTTCTCACCCATATATTAGTAAATCTGTTGAGTTGAATGTAAACAAGTGATCTTTGTATAACAATTCTTAGAATTAACATATGTATATCAAAGGGGTTAAAAAATACTGTTTAAAGAACCTTCTTATAAAAGTGAGGGCAATTCTTTGGTTCATGACTAACTGAACAATGAAGATCACTCAACACTGGGACACATATTTTATCACTGAGGGTCGCATAAAAGAATTCTTAGTTTAAGGATCATGCAACTGTTACAGGAGGGTGCTTGTTCTTCCTCGCCACCCGGCTAGCTTAAACCTGAAATAATGACACAGAAACCATATTATTTAAATCACTGCTTGGCTTATTAGCTCTAGCTTCTTATTGGCTAACTCTTGCATATTAATTTAACCCATCTCCATTAATCTGTGTATTGCCATATGACAGTGGCTTACCAGCAAAGTTTTGGCGTGTCTGACTCTGGTGGTGGCTCCATGGTGGCTCCCTGACTCCGCCCTTCTTTCTCCAAGCATACAGCCTAGCATTCCAGCCTAGTTCTGTTCTTCCCTGCCATAGGCTCAAAGCAGTTCTTCATTCATTAACTAAAGAAAGCAACACAGAGACAGAAGGACCTCCCACACCATACAACATGTAGAAGGTTTAAATTGGCAGTTCTAACTTGCCATGCTGTGTTCTGGCTTAAACACACACTTCAAGATAAGTAGAAGTTCATGCCATTTGTTGGAAAGACAGAAGAAAAGAGTAGAAAAATAATCAGTCTTGCAAAACCACATTTTCTTTGCCATTAAAAACAACCTTCACATTTTTAAATATAAAAAGTTTTGCATAACTATTGACTATTTCACTAAGATTGTGAATAATTTCTAAATAGACTTGATTTTTAGCAAATAGCAAAAAAAAATATTCATAGGAAGAAGTGAGTAGTTTGCCTCTAAGTCTAAAGAAAAACTTGGAAAAAAAATCTTGTAGAAATGCATCTGCCTTTTCCATCATCTAATTCCAGTTCAATTCCCAGATGATTAAATTCTTTATTTTATTTTTAAAATAATCTTTTCTCATTTTACATACCAATCCCAATTCCCACTGCCTCTCTCCCCTCCTCCCACTCTCCCCACCTTCTCCCTATCCACCTCTATCCACTCCTCAGAGAAAGTAAGACATCCCATGGACAGTCAACAAAGTCTGGCACATCTCTTTGAGGCAGGACCAAGGTACTAACCCCCTAGTATCTCTCAAAAGAGAATGGGCTCCAAAAAGCCAGTTCAAGATCCTGGCCCCACTGCCAGAGGCACCACAGACTGCCTAATCCACACAACTGTCACCCACATTCAGAGGGCGTAGAGTGGTCCTATGCAGGTTCCCCTGCTGTCAGTCGGGAGTCAATGAGCTCGCACTAACTCAGGTCAGCTGTTTCTGTGGGTATCCCCATCATGGTCTTGACTCCTTTGTTCATATTATGCCTCCTCCCTCTTAGGGCTACCTTACCTCCAAATAAAAACGCAAGGAAATTTTTAAGTCGGTTTGTAAACATATGTGTCGGGTCAACATTGCTAAACATGACAATTACGGAGCGAGAAGATTTTTATTATCAAGACAAGTTAATGCAGGGGAGAGTGGGGGGAAAGGGGTTCTGAGGGTAACTCTTTTCTTTAATGTACAGCTTGCCTCCAGTTTATTTACAAGGGGCACCCTCAGTCACACTCTCTAGGTTCTGGGAATATCCGAGAAAAACGGGAACAAGGGAACGCGGCGGGGTGGGGGCTGGGCGGATGAAGACACAGTTTCAGAACAAAACATTCTCAAGAATATCTGCCTTTGCTACTTTGTTTTGGGCTCTAGCGCTTATCACTGTCTTGTCTGACTCCCTTCCCTGGGCCCATTCCGTTAACCTTCTTGTGACTCCACCCTCCTCTCTCTGGGTTCTTTCTCTCTTGGTTCATTAAAGCTCCAGCAAATCTTCCTAACCGCCTGCCCCTCCCCTTGTGGAAGAAAATCTTAGGGACGGGATGTATATTCTGAAACTTCTGAGGGTTTCTAAGTGACGCTGAGCATGCTCAGTAGCTCAAAGGCAAGGTTTCTTCTCCAGCAGCTGACCTGGTTCGACCTCTCCAGAAATAAACATTTAACTCTCTGAACCCCTGTTTAAGGATAGAATTCGTTTGGGCTCTCTCTTCATTTTTAAGGTTCAAAGAGAAGAGGCGAGGATTCCAGGGTCTCGCCGCCAGCACAGCCAATGAGGAGCCCGAGGGAGGAGCCTGGCCAGCTCTGACTGGTGAGGGACTCGCCCCCAGTAGATGCGGTGGAGTTTGAGCTTTGCTGCATCCGTCACTGAAGAACAAAATAAGAGTAAAGGAGACAGGCTGCAGAGCATGGGAGGCGGTGGGGTTTTCTGAGACGTTTCCTGGGCTTTCCGCGGAGCATGAGCCTTTAAAACGAATTCTTTTTTATAGAAACTCATTTGTGTAGCTGGGAAAATGATACATATGCTAAACGCAGCAGCCTATCGGGTGAAATGGACCAGATCCGGCGCTGCTAAGAGGGCTGCCTGCCTGGTGGCTGCGGCATATGCTCTGAAAACCCTCTATCCCATCATTGGCAAGCGTTTAAAGCAGTCTGGCCACAGGAAGGAAGAAGCAGCAGCTTATCCGCCTGCAGAGAACAGAGAAATACTGCATTGCACAGAGATCGGCTGTAAAAAGCCTGCGCCGGGACTGAATGCAGATTTTTTCAAACAGCTACTAGAACTTCGGAAAATCCTCTTTCCAAAACTTGTGACCACTGAAACGGGGTGGCTCTGCCTCCATTCGGTGGCTCTAATCTCAAGAACATTTCTTTCTATCTATGTGGCCGGTCTGGATGGAAAAATAGTGAAAAGCATCGTGGAAAAGAAGCCTCGGAGTTTCGTCATCAAGTTGATCAAGTGGCTTATGATTGCCATTCCTGCCACCTTTGTCAACAGCGCTATCAGGTACCTGGAGTGCAAACTGGCTTTGGCCTTCAGAACTCGCTTAGTAGACCATGCCTACGAAACCTATTTTGCAAATCAGACTTATTATAAGGTGATAAATATGGACGGGAGGCTGGCCAACCCTGACCAGTCCCTTACTGAAGACATTATGATGTTCTCACAATCTGTCGCTCACTTGTATTCCAACCTTACCAAGCCTATTTTAGATGTAATCCTAACTTCCTATACTCTCATCCGGACTGCTACGTCCAGAGGAGCGAGCCCAATAGGGCCCACGCTTTTAGCCGGACTTGTGGTCTACGCCACGGCTAAAGTGCTGAAGGCTTGCTCTCCTAAATTTGGCACACTAGTGGCTGAGGAAGCTCATAGGAAAGGCTATCTGCGGTACGTTCACTCCAGAATCATAGCCAACGTGGAAGAAATTGCCTTCTACAGAGGACATAAGGTAAGACAGACATTAAAGCAACGGGTGAAACGTGAGACTGGCCAAGCAGCCACGGCAGGGCTAGATACCATCTGTTATCCTATTGACAGGCCCACTTTCTGAACATTACAGTGTTCTCTGTTAGCTAAACGTGTTCTAAAATAGAATATATTGCAGTAGCTTTTTAAGTCACCTACTGTTGAAGATTAACGAGTCCAAACTTTTATGAAGTTTCTGGAGATTAAAATTTCAGTCCGCTTTAAAAGTGTCTGCATAGCCTCAGTTACTCAAATACAGCCGGACTGACCTCAGAGGCATTTCCTTATAATTCAGTACTAAGTTGGTAAGTGGCTCTGTACATATGAAGAAAATGCATAGTTGGGAACAAAGAGTAAACCTCTTTGGATTGAGATGGAAGTGTGAGGGTGCTGTTCTTTGTTGTTCTTTTGTGTTCAAGACGGGGAGAGGGCTTTCAAAGAGAGAACAGTTTGGGCAGTTTTGCAAGACTGATCAATGAGAAAGCGCCCTGAAACTGAAGAAATGCAGACGGGTGTCTAATGAAATCGCATGTCCCTCACTTTTACTTCATGTCGAGCATGTGCTTTCGACAGATATAATTAAATTTTGTCTAGTAGAGAAGTGAACACTAAGATTAGAGGGGACAGGAGTAGGTAGAACTAGGGTGATATGTTTAAATGTTATGAATCTTCAACAGGAAAATAATTAGCCCAAGTACATAAAATTGTTGCACATTATAGTTACTTCAGGATGTTGAGTGTGATGTAAATTGGGGGGTGGAACACATGAAGTCTTAAGATCGATGGTTTGGCAGTACATAATGAAGTGCTTAAAGTTATGTTTTACTCACCAGGCAGAGTGGTCTATCTTTTAAAGCATCAAGAATTAGCATTGTTTCTTTTTCAATGGCAGAACCAACCCAAAGAAAAGTTTAAAACTAATTCAGGGCCTCTATTCCCACTTGAAATTGACCTTGTGTGTTGTGTTAACTGTGCTGATTTGTTACATTCAGATCATTGAACTCAATGTAAATTAGTGGATTCCTTGCTTAAAAGACAAAGTCTGGGAAACTGAGTCAATCAAAAAGTAGTCTATGCATGTTTTGTTTGGTTTTAGATATTTTTTAGAGTTCTCAAGAATGATATGTGTTTAACATTCTTACCCATACCTTTATAGAATAGTATTTAATTTTAACATCTTAAAATTTAAAATTAAACTATGAATCTCTCTGTCTCTGTTCACCTTCTTTCTGCCTGCCTGCCACTCTCTCTTTCTCTCTTACTGTGTGTGTGCGCCTCTCTGTGTCTGTCTGCCTCTGTGTGTGTGCACCTCTTTGTGTCCGTCTGTCTGTCTCCCCTATTTTCTCTCTTTCTTTCTCTTCCTCTCCCTCTGTGTATGCCTCTCTGTTTCTGTTTGTCTGTCTGTCTCCCCCACCCCTGAACTGTTGAGAATTGTACCCACGGCCTCATGTGTGTCAGCAATAAGAACATGTTCTAACACTGGGCTATACTCCATGTCACTCCTGTGTATTTTAAACACTATTATATTTACTGGATAGTGTGATATTAAAATAATACAAGTGGAAGCTAAACTATATTATGACTAGTTCTAATATCAAGTTACATTTATAGGTTATAGAAATGTAGCAACAAAGGCTGTGCTAAGTAAAGCCAAACAATAAACCTACATCATTAAAGAGAATCTTTAAGTAATTACAGAATTTATTTCTATGCTATACTAATTCTTCTCTTTTCCCCTTTTTAGGTAGAAATGAAGCAACTGCAGAAAAGTTACAAGGCTTTAGCTTATCAAATGAACCTCATTTTATCCAAGCGTTTATGGTACATCATGATAGAACAGTTCTTGATGAAGTATGTGTGGAGCAGCTGCGGACTAATTATGGTGGCTATCCCTATTATCACTGCGACAGGCTTTGCAGATGGTGGTAATAACATTCATACTTAATTTTAAATATATGCTTAACATTATTTCTCTTTCCGATGCCATTGCAGGTTCCCTGTGTTACTGGGTAGACAGCCATTATCTGTAGTTACTTGTACTAAGAAACAGTGGCAGTTTTCAGTGTTCAATAATAAGACCATCAGTATGGAAGAAGCAACAGATGGCTTAAAGGACCGTGCCAAGGAGGTCATAGGTCTGGCATAGTTTCCCTGGAAGTCTATCTGTAATCATTTTAATTACATTACCCAGCGACTTTTCAGTTTATATTTAACCACAAAGTGAACTGATACCTCCAGAAAGAGTATAACATAAGCACATCTCATGTTTTGTTGCTAACATCCTATAGCTTAAGCATATGAATTTCCTATAACTGAATTTGCCCTGATTTGTGATTTGAAAGTTGATTGGCTAAATTATATAACCAGGAATGCTGTTTCAGGGTGCATGTGAGTGTCATGGAATGGGTTCTCTATTTGTAGTAATACAGATACTTTCCCATGACATGATTTGGTGATGGGTGGAGGCAGTGCATATCAAGCTGCAGGTATTTAATTCTATTCTCTTTGTTGCAACAGTTTTTTTTAAACCAACTTTTCTTCTTTTGGTATAACTAAAAAAGATAATGGCAAGAAAGAAAATGTTACACTGTTCTTCATATAAGAAAGCTTGGATCTTTCCTGTTAGAAATGAAGAGGTTACAGTTAGAGGTCAGCTTTCATAGATCCACATTTAAGGATTCAGTCAAGCACAGAGCAGGAACGGGAGTCTAAAACAAAAACAGAGAAAAATCTGTCCATTATCAACACATACTTTTTATTCCCTAAAGAATTCAGGGTAATGACTGTTTTCATAGCATTTGTCTCACTTGAAGTATTATAAATTATTTACAAAGTATTGTAAAATTTTATTTAAAATTGTCAAATTTGACTCATTATTAAGCAAAATATATTCATGTCAGTGAACTGTGACTTGTTAGTCCCTCTTTGTGGTCAGCACTAAATACATAATGAATGTGTTCCACAAGTAAACTTTCAAATAGGAGCTGTGAACATTGACTTTTATCACTTCAATATGTTCAACTTTACCAAGAAATGATTTTAGATTTGTATTTTAAAAAATATTCTTAGTAATCGTATTCAAAACATAACCCGAATAACTACTTTTCCCAAGGAGTGTTTACAGTGGGAAGAAAGGCACTGCAAACATGTGCTCTTCAGATTGGCTTTGCTAAGAAATTGGTCCAAACGTAAACTGAAAAGTCATCTCTTAAGCTAATAACATTCACCAAAAAGTTTCATGTTTAACGTACATTAGAGATAGTCCCAACAAGAAGATTATACTACAATGTTTGTTAGCAGTGTTTGGTCTTATTAGAAAACCCTAGTGTAATCGTCATAGAATAGAAAAAAAATGCATCTATTAATGGTGGCAAATTAACCCCACTGAGACTAGCAAGAAGTAAACATGTATGCCCCAAAACTAACTAGCTTACTTACCAAGGGGTAATGAGATGTTTAAAAATAAATACTACAAATCTGGCAGGCAGTACCAGCTGAAAGGGACATTTTATGTTGGAATCGTAAGTGAAACAAAGTATCATGTAAAGCTCATTCCAAAGACCATCCTGCAGAGGTGGACAATGTAGGGTCCTCAGAGAAGAGCAATGATTGTTTCAAAGTCTGCAGAACTGAAGGTTGCTGCATGTGTCCTGTGTGCCCACTCTACTAAATATATTTGACCTCGGGTAACTTAACAAGTGAAAATACCATTTCACTCAGCAAAAATATTTTTTTGCAGATACTGATATCACCTTCAGGTTTCAGATCAAGAAATTATATGCCATATTTTTTATTGAGCTCTACATTTTTCTCTGTCCTCCTCCCTGCCTCTCCCCTTTCCCCTGCAAGCCTCCCCCAAGGTTCCCATGCTCCCAATTTACTCAGGAGATCTTGTCTTTTTCTACTTCCCATGTAGTTTAGATCCATGTATGTCTCTCTTAGGGTCCTCATTGTTGTTTAGGTTCTCAGGGATTGATTTGTAGGCTGGTTTTCTTTGCTTTATGTTTAAAAACCACTTATGAGTGAGTATGATAATTGTCTTTCTGAGTCTGGGTTACCTCACTCAAAATGATGTTTTCTAGCTCCATCCATTTGCCTGCAAATTTCAAGATTAAAAAAAAAAAACCCAAAGTCATATTTTCTAATATAATCTTAAATCTTAATTTAAAGTGGGGTATGGTGGTGCAAACCTTTAATCCCAGCAGCATGGAGTCAGAAGCAAGTCTATTTCTGTGAGTTCCAGGACATCCTGGGTCTACAAGTCAGGTTCCAGGACAACTAGGGCTATGTAGAAAAGAAAGAACATATGTAGTGTGTGTATGTATGTATGTGTGTGTATGTATGTATGTATGTATGTATGTATTGAGCCTAATCACTTAGGTGTCTCTCATGTTACAGATAAAATAATTACATGATACTATATGTTTTATGGCATAAGAAGGTGAAGAAGTGAGTGAAACAATGGCTTGAGACACAGTTCAGTGGTTAAGAGCACTTGCTGCTCTTACAGGGAACTAGAGTTCAGTTCCCAGCAACCCTACTGAAAAGCTCATAGGTGCTTATAACCCTAATTCCAAGGTAGTTAGCATCCTTCTCTGGCCTGCCTGGGCAGTATCTATCCTCATGTGCACATATTCACCTTCCCCCACACATATACATAATTAAAAATTAAAATAAAATGTAAAAATATGAAACAAAATGATAAGAGAATGATTAATTTGGAAAATGAGAATGAGGTGGGGATAGAAAAAAGGGAAGTGGGGAAAGCCTTCGCCTGATGTAATAGTTAACCAAGCTTTGGGAAGACTGTCTAAATTTATAGGCTTTAGTTTTCTTAAACATGTGGGTAATTATACATATCATTTAGAGTTGCCGTGAAATGGTAATGTTTCAGTGTGCATTGTTCTTGGGAAGGCTAAAAAGTGAGTACCCGTTCTCGGCGGCATTTGTTACACTCTGAACCTGTGAGCTCTAGAGTTAGAGGGCTTGAGCCTAAAGGCTAGCTATTCTACTTACACCCTGGAAAAATCATTCCACTTTTCTGTATTTCAAATTCCTCATATTCAAAAATAGGCAAAGTTAGCAGGATTGTCATAACGATTCATGTAAAACTTAGTATGGTATCTGCTCGTAGAAAATAATTCATCAGCGTTTGCCAATATCATCGTGGTTTAAAGAAGCAAGGATCTGAAAGTGGCTAGGAAGTCAGAAGTAAGACTGTTTAGGAGAAAGAATCTGTAGAGTTTTTGTTGGAAGGGGGTAAAAGATAAGCAGCGTCTTTGTTGTAGATCTTCTTGGCTGTTGTAGATCTACTTGACAGAATAGATATACTTGCACAATGTCAAGTGAGCATTCATAGTAAGGACAGGGCATTCATATTGAAAAAAAATTACCTTTACAGCATACTGTTTTCCACTTCAGAAAAGGGCCTTAGAGTCTCTATTTTAGAGATCCTGGTTTGTCTAAATCCAGATGTGTAGCTAACTAGAACCCTGGGGATTGGAGACATTATGCATCTCCTGGTACACTACCTCTACTCCTGCACCAGAGCCACCATGCTGAAACGTGCTTTGTAAGTCGACAGTAATGATGGGCCAATCACTGAAATGGGAACTTTCAAGTCTTCAGTGATTTCGTTACCTTATTAATTATTTCAAAGCTATGTCTCATTGGAAGGCTATGTCTCCCTGTCTTTGTATTAAGGGAAGACAGATGACAGAGGAAAACTTGTCAGGAAGGATGTAGTTCTTCACTAAAATGTCAGCTGTGCTGACCTGAGGAATAAAATCGGTGAGCATTTAGGTCATGGATTTATATTTCCGACATTAAGGAATCTGGCCTTGTTAGAGAGGCCAGACAGGTGACTGTTCATGCAGGCTTATCACTACTTGCCCTGTTTCCATGGTACCTACCAAAAAACATGGTAGTTTAACAGTTATACACTGTGGGAAAATATTTACTTTGTTGCTAAAAGCATAAAGAAACCCCAGAAGGCATTAATCTGCCAAAGCAGCACCGGAGCTATGATTCCACACCAACCCCTGTCCATCTGTGCAAATGGGTTTTTGTTGTTGTTCTTGTTCAACAGAGGTTGCCAGTGAAAGGCCAAACCCCTTTTAACCCACATTCATAAAAAGCCAGTGATTAGTTGAGATGGTCAACCAGATGCTTAAAATCCTAACCCTTTCCTAGTTTTAGCTCACGGATGAATTCACTATTTCAGTAGCTGGTTGAGAATTTTTCCATTGATTATACATATCTCATTATGTATTTAAATATATTTTCAAGATATCTAGAGCCAAGCATGCGCTACACAACTATTATCCTAGAACTCAGGTGACTGAAGATGGAGGATCACAATGTAAAGACACAGTTAGGACTCACAGTGAGAAATCAAGTGTGTAAATTCCAAGGGACTAACAGAGAAGGGCATGCTAGTGATTCAGCTGAACTCCAGGATGAAGAATGCTTGAGGAAGGAGGAAAACATCCAAATGATGAGGGCCAAGCATCCTCAAGTTAGTTCTTCCATTGAGAATGTCAGGAGAGTTTATTACAGTTGTAATAGTAGCAGAAAATTGGATACAAGAAATGTCTAAAGGAAGCTCAATGGAAATAACCTAATGCCTATAGATTTAGTTGTACTAACTTCTTGTTCTAATTAAATCATGCAAAAGGGAACTTCTAATAAACCCTAATACATAGTATTTATTATACTTAATAATTAAATGTATTTCTAGGAATTTGCTGGTAGTGATAAAATATTATTATTTTAGCCATAATTTAATTGATATAAAGTAAGACAATTACTTGGAAAAAAAAACCTTAGCATTTCTGTGATTTTTTTCTCTTAGATCTGGAGGACGGCCCAAAGCAGGCCATGGTTAGCGATCGGACAGAAGCCTTCACCACTGCCCGAAATTTATTGGCCTCCGGAGCTGACGCTATTGAAAGAATTATGTCTTCATACAAAGAGGTATTTGAATGTCTTGCAAATTTGCGTAAAATATGAAAGCCTCTGAAAACGAAGTGTAAATGATGAAGTATGTGTAGCATTTTCGAAACAGGTATTTTTTTCTCACTCTCTCTCTAAATTACCAAGCGTATAATTGAGGTCAAGGGTGGCAACTCCACAGTGAGGTGGCCATTTACTTCTGTTTACAAGCATGGTTTTACTTGATTTTCAATGAAGAGAACAAAAAGGAATCGCTCTTGTGTGGCCTCTAGAGCCCATGCCTGATTTACGTTCAGACGTCATCATTTACAAGTCACGTGACCTCCTCAAGATTCTTGCCTGCATGGATTCCTGTTTCTTTACCTGTAAGTTGGGGTGATGACAGGAAGGATTTTTCAGGGCATCAAAAGTTCATAATGTGGGCTCAATGCATTTCAGGGCTCGCTAGTGTTAGTTAATAATACCAGGTTTACATCTTGCAAACTTTGCTCATCCTTCATTGAAGAAGTCTCATCAGGAATATCTAAAGCCTCGCGATACCACTTCTAGTGGTCTTTGAAGCACGTTGGGTGGGCTTCTCTGTCTCTGTCACTTTACCTTGGCTCTCTCCCTGGCAGCTGACCCTGAGCTCTCTGACCACAGCGATTCTCATTGCTCATCTTTCACTCCCAGCCTTCATCAATACTTAGGTAAAAGGCTTGTAAGTGTTTTTTAAAAGGATGGCAAATCAAGAACAACAACGATAAGACCTGTGGCTACCACGGGGTTAAGATTAGAAAGACTATTCAGTTCAGATATTTCCAAAATTCTATTAATTAATTTTATAAATCATAAAGCAATATGAATGTTCAAGTACCATTGCAAATTTATCTCCTAATTTAATTAAAGGACAGTATGTGATACAGCTTCAAAGTTTCTGAGTGCCTTACAGAACTGATTTACTGATTTGGATTTGTTTTCCCCACCATAAAACCAATAGTTCAGTCCCACTTATCTCAACTCCTCAGTTTCTAAAATTTCAAACAGTAATTTTAATAATCTTGGTACCTAGTTTAAGGGATAGTTTTTTTCATGTCACTCACTTTAATATTAAGCAATATATTTACTATTAAAATTAGACAATGCCAGTTAGTGGTGGTGCATGCCTTTAATCCCAGTACTTGGGAGGCAGAAGGAGGCGGATCTCTAAGGAGATAGAGACCAGCCTGATGTATTGAGTGAGTTCCAGGACAGTCAGGGCTAAACGGTGAAACCTTGTCTCTGGGGAAAGGGGGGGAGGGGGATAAATAAATAAATAAGACAAAGAAATTGCCCATCTCACATTGAAACATGCTAAGTCACTAAAGGATCATCATTTACCCATCCTAGATTTTCTCCAATGATAAAAATTACCTCACTTGTCATTATCTCGACTTCATATGCCATGAATCTAAGATTGTTCACTTCTTAAAGGCACATTGTGCTACTGTGAGCAGACAAGAAGTCACCATGCCTCTCTACCAGCTGCAAGGAGCAAAGGCTCCTTCTTAGTCAGGATCCTACATTCCACAACAAAAGCCCTGGTGACCCAAAGCGCCTGTCTTCTGGCATACTCTTAGTTTCATAGACATTCCCTTCCCATTTCAGTGTCAATCCCAATCAACTTACCCATTGCTTCCTGATCCTTTTTAGTTCTTCTGTAATTTTAGATTTTTCCTATGCCAATATTCTTATTTGCCCAATTGGCTGCTTGGTTTATGTCAACCTGACACATAGCCGGACATATCCGGAAAAAGGGTTACTTAATTGAAACAATGTCTCTAATGAGATTGGCTTGTGGGGGTATTGTACGGGTTGTGGGAAGGCCTATATCACCGTGGGTGGGTAGTGCCAGCTGCCCCTTCTGAGCAGGTGGTCCTGATTTGTATACTAAAGTGGCTGAACTTACCATGCCAGCAAGCCTGTAAGCAGTACTCCTCACGGCCTCGCCTTCAGTTCCTGCCTGCAGTGTCCTGTCTTCAGTTTCTGCCCTGACTTCCCTCAGTGACAGAGTGTGGCCTAGCTGTTGTAGGATGAAACAAACCCTCTCCTCTCCAGGTAGCTTTTGGTCATGGTTTTTTTTTTATCACAGCAGTAGAAGTCCTCACTAGAACACACGCATTTCTTTTTTTTTTTTTTTTTTTTTTAAATAATTTTTTTATTAAGAAAAGAAGAAAAAAAACATAAACAAAAAACAAGTTTCCACCTCCTCCCAGCCTCCCATCTCCCTCCCCCTCCTCCCACCCTTCTCCCCCTCTTCCCACCCTTCTACCCCTCCCCCCACTCCTCTCCCCCTCCCTCTCCAGTCCACAGAGCAGTCCAGGTTCCCTGCCCTGTGGCAAGTCCTAGGTCCTCCCCCCTCCGTCCATATCTAGGAAGGTGAACATTCAAACTGGCTAGGCTTCCACAAAGCCAGCACATTAAGTAGGATCAAAACCCCGTGCCATTGTCCTTGGCGTCTCATCAGCCCTCATTGTTCGCCATGTTCAGAGAGTCTGGCTTTATCCCATGCTTTTTCAGTCACAGTCCAGCTGGCCTTGGTGAGCTCCCAGTAGATCAGCTCCACTGTCTCAGTGGGTGGGTGCACGCCTCGTGGTCCCGACTTCTTTGCTCATGTTCTCCCTCCTTCTGCTCCTCATTGGGACCTTGGGAGCTCAGTCCAGTGCTCCAGTGTGGGTCTCTGTCTCTGTCTCCATCCATCACCAGATGAAGGTTCTATGATGATATGCAAGATATTCGTCAGTATTGCTCTCGGATAGGGTCATTTCAGGTTCCCAATCCTCAGCTACCCAAGGAACTAACTGGGAACCTCATGTTGGGCACTTGGGAGCCCCTCTAGGGTCAAATCTCTTGCTCACCCTAAAGTGGTTCCCTTAACTAAGAATTGTGGTTCCGTGCTCCCCTATCCACCTTTCCTTTATCCCAATTCTCCTGATTCCCCAAGTCCCCCCTCCTTCCCTTCTACCTTTTCTCTCCCCATCTCCCCTTACCCCCATCCCACCCCACCCCCAAGATCCTAATTTTCTCCCCGGCAATTGGGTCTACTTCCCTTAGCCAAGAGGATAACTATATGTTTTTCCTTGGGTTCACCTTCTTACTTAGCTTCTTTAGGTTCACCTATTGTAGTCTCCGTGGCCCTAATTTATGGCTAGAAACCAATTATGAGCGAGTACATCCCATGTTCATCTTTTTGGGTCTGGGACACCTCACTCAGGATAGTGTTTTCTATTTCCATCCATTTGCCTGCAAAATTCGAGAAGTCATTGTTTTTTACCGCAGCGTAGTACTCTAGCGTGTATATATTCCATACTTTCTTCATCCATTCTTCCATTGAAGGGCATCTAGATTGTTTCCAGGTTCTGGCTATTACAGAGAAGCTTCTGTAAAGCAAAGGACATAGTCAATAAGACACAAAGGCAACCTACTGATTGGGAGAAGATCTTCACCAACCCCACAACAGACAAAGGTCTGATCTCCAAAATATATAGAGAACTCAAGAAACTAGACTTTAAAATGCTAATTAACCCAATTAAAAAATGGGGCACTGAACTGAACAGAGAATTCTCAGCAGAGGAAGTTCAAATGGCCAAAAGACACTTAAAGTCGTGCTCAACTTCCTTAGCAATCAGGGAAATGCAAATCAAAACAACTTTGAGATATCATCTTACACCTGTCAGAATGGCTAAAGTCAAAAACACCAAGGATAACCTTTGCTGGAGAGGCTGTGGAGGAACGGGTACCCTCATCCATTGCTGGTGGGAATGCCATCTTGTGCAACCACTGTGGAAGTCAGTGTTTCGGTTTCTCAGGAAATTCGGGATCAACTTACCCCTGGACCCAGCAATACCACTCCTGGGAATATACCCAAGAGATGCTCTATCATATGACAAAAGCATTTGTTCAACTACGCATTTCTTTTAAATATGTATTTTGCTAAACTGTCTCTTGCATTAGCATAAATGAATGTCTACAGATTGTAAAAATATATACAGCTTTAATGGGGAAATAGACTTACAGAACCACAGGTTCCTGTGGAGAACAGGAAAACAGAAGGGGCGGTGGGCTCTCGCTTGCCAGATTTATGTGTAAACATTAGCCCGAGGCGAACACGCCCCCTAATGGGCTGGGCTTATCCCTACAATCTTTTTGCCTCTATTTAAGAGCTCAAGACTTCCTTCCAGATACCATTTTCAAAGTCTTCCTTTAGATAGCTATACCATTAACGTACATCAATAAATGGTCAAATTACAGGCCTTCTACTGTGACACTAACACCTCTTCATTATGGTTTAAGTTTTACACACAAAGCTCTCAGCCATCTGCCAGCACCCGTGTGTTAATCTACAGATGTCGGTTACGAGACATCTTTTGTGACATGCGTGCTTATTGGTGTCAGTTTTCCAATTCTTTTGCTGATCCAAATGATACGGTTAAGACAAGTCACCTTTCACAGTCCCCTGATAGCAAGCTGTTCTGGCAGAATAGAAAACCAGCAGAAGTTTAGCCTAGATGGACAGCTGGTACAACCAGAGCAAAGTGTCTCTCTATGGAGCCTTGTGGACTAAAGCAGAAATTTGTTTCAGCTTATCTAGAAAAAAAATCATCTGCTTATAGCTAACCTTGAGCACCGAAGCCATATTTGTCTTCAGTCCAGAAGCTGGGTTGTGGGGTTTGTGCTGCAAAGGTCCTGAAGCCTCTCACTGGGCTCTCTTTCACAATGTGTCCCCTCTATTACAGATATTCCTCTGCTGAAACAGGAACTTTAGCAACATTTGGCTTAGAAACGTTTGTTTATAAATAAGACCCAAAGTACTTTTCTCCTATTTATTAAATTCCTTTCCATGCGTGTATCAACAAACCTGTTTCTTGATGTTACTTTTAGTTAGGAAAGCTGCTTCGGGTTATATTTGGAGACAGCAAACGTGGCTGGAAGAATTGTTTGCTTTTAATATTTAACTAATAAATAAAATTAGAGTCAATGTCATATTGGTTTTCATTGCTCTGTTTCGAATTTTTTGTATGTGTGGGTATTTATGGAGGAGTGAACTCTGAGGCTTCATATATGCTTGACGAGTGTTCCATCTATCACTAAGCTACATATGCACAGTAATGATCTAGTTGAAATAGAAAGAGAAAAGGGATGGTAATTGCAATACATGTTTTTAATCCCCATGCTTAGGAGGCAGGGCAGACAGATCTCTTTATGAGGCCAGCCAGAGCCGCTACACAGTGAGTCTCTGACTCAAAAACGAAACAAAAAAACAGAAAACCCAAACAAACAAACGGAAGCAAAAATAAAGAATCATCCTTTCATTTAAGCGGGACAAATCAGAAATGTGACTAAAAGACATGCATGACTCATTAATATTACAGAAGCTGCTCAGTTCATTTTTGAGCACTGAGGTAAATCAATATTTTTGTTTTACAACTCCAACGAAACCTATACCGATGTCTTCTTTATTGTCCCTAATAAGCTTCTTACCATGGCTTGTTTCAGTAATCAGATGTATTAGGTTTTTTTTTCTGCCATATACAATAAAGTAGACTCTTCAGCAACAAATTAAGAGGTTTATATGCTACATAATATTTTAGAGTATCTATTATGGCTCTATTATCAACTCATTCTTTACATATTGATTTTAGATCACTGAACTAGCAGGTTATACTGCTAGAGTCTACAATATGTTCTGGGTCTTTGATGAAGTGAAAAGAGGCATTTATAAGAGAAATGTCACTCAGGAGACTGACCAGCATAGCAAGAGTGGAGGGAACGTGGAGCTACCCCTCAGTGACACCCTAGCAATTAAAGGTAACCAACTTCAGGGGTTTTCATGATGTGGGATTCAGTGTCATCTTAGAAAAGGGCTTTTTCTAGAAAACAGATTTTCAGAGTTAAAGAAACTAGAATTTGAACAGCAAGCATTATTTAAACAGCGGTCTGTAATATTGTGCTGACAAGCAGGGAAGGAAGGAATCGTGGCAGTGATATTCTGGGAAATGTCTTCACGTTGTGTTTGCAGACAGCACACGTGGCTGAAAGAATCATTTGCTCTTAAAATCTGAGCTAATAAATAGAACTAATGCTACTGCCTTATTGTTTTTCATTATTCTATTTCTAAATGTTTGTCACGTGTTAAAATATTTCACTTCCTAATTCTTTTCTTGGAACAGTGTGGGTTTTTTTGTAGGAAATAGGGGAACTAAATAACTCTAATTGTATGGTTAGGTTACTTCAGATAGAGTTTAAACCTGTGAGGATAAAGATACTGGTTTTGATTATAAGATTGTTTTCTCAGAAATATTTTCTAAGTGGATTTAAATATAGATGTTAAATTGACTTCATATATTTTTTCTATGACTTATAGATGTGAATTATCTTTATAATCGAGTTTATCCATTCTGTTGTATTATTCAAATTAACTAGTAGTAACTTGCGATGGCCTTTGTAACGTAAACTATTCCTTGATTACAGGAACAGTTATTGATGTGGATCACGGAATCATTTGTGAAAATGTGCCCATAATTACACCAGCAGGAGAAGTGGTGGCTTCAAGACTAAACTTCAAAGTAAGATGATAGTCAAGAATCTTCTGGTTGTTGGCCTCACACTAATAGAAACCACTCAGAATTCATGTACCTTATGTTAAATACTTGGAGAGGAGCGTGTGGAAAAGGGGAAGTCACAAAAGGTATGCACAGTGGCTCAGTTGCAGCAGCAGTAACTTCCTCAGAGAGCAGAGAGAAAAGAGAACTCTGATTTTAGCTGCTTTAGTGCTAGGTTAAAAATCAAATTACAGATCACTGAGACCCTTCAAGGTAGTTTTGGGGGGAACAAGAGGAAATATCAGAAATTAATATCAGGAAATGAATTTTAATTTTTTATAAAAGTTATTAAGATATCTGTAAGACTACAGTCTTATATACTTTCTAAAAATATTGCCATTCCCCAAAGGTCATTCCAAATTCAGTTTATCTAATACATGTTTTCTAACTGTAATTTCTACTTTAAATAATCAGAAGATTCATGGATACAGCTTCAGGTTTTAATTCTGTTGAAAATAATTGATTTAATATTCTATATATTAATTACAAAGCTAAGAAGTACAAGAACATTTTGTCAGTCCACGGCTCTGATTTTAAGGCTTTGTGAAATTTAAACATACATTTAGAACTAAGTGTAAAATGGCAAACATGTTGTATTAAGTACTTCAGTCATTATGGCAGTGCACTGACAACTTAGAAAGAGGAAGTATTTAGTTGGCTCTTGGTTTCAGGGATCTACTTAGGGTTGAGCTGTCTCATGGCTTTGGGCCTGAGAAATAGCTGAACATCTTCCAGGAACGAGTACCAAAGGAACGTCCTTAGTGCACGCTAGATAGCAAGTAGGGAAAGAGAATGCACAAAGGGTCAGGCCAAAAACAATCTGAGGACACATTTCCACTGACCCTCTTCTTCTAGGTAGAACACATGTCTGAGGCTCTCCACCAAAATGTAACACAAGTTGGAGACGTAGTGATCGACACAAGATTTGGGGGGGACATTTCAGATTCAAACCATACCAACTAAAATGAGGGCAGCTGAGCTGTGTTTAAATGAAGGCATGATTAGACTTCATAACTCAATTCTGAATGTCATAATACTAATGATTTTGGAATAGATCTTAGTCTAGGTTTAATTATTAGAGATATATTTGCAATTGATGAAGGTTACTGAATGTTGAAAAGAGAGAATGCAATACATTAAACACAAAGGAAATTCTGTTAATAAATTCACGAGAAATAACTTGGTCGGGATTTATCATTTCAGTATAAACCTACAGAATGGTTTTATTCTTAGGATAGGACATGGGTACCAATTAGCTACTCACTTCAAATATGAATTTTTTATTATCTATTAATACTTTGGCAATTTAGATGGGAATAAAGCTAAGTGGTTAGGGTGCTTGTCTGGCATTCAAAGACCTTGAGTTCAGTCCCCACTGAACAACAAAGGAACAGAAACAGTCTGTGATTGTTATATGGCTCTGGGTTTCTGTGGTTGCTTTGTTGGTGTAGGTAATATATTACTGGTTCTTGTTGCTCTAATTTTTAAATAAACAGGTGACAGGGCCTGAATGTACTGTCTTCTAACTATACCCCGTAGAGCCCTCATACCCTGAATTAAAACCCGGAGCTCAGTCTCTTGTAGAAAATAAACAGTGATCCAGTAGAAGACTCTTACAGACTTTAAAAATACTATGAAGATGTACATTGTTACAACATACTGTTTGCTATTATATTTGCCCCTGGAAGCTGTATTTCAATCCTAATCTCCATAGAATAAGATAAAAAGTTGTGTTTTTTCAGTATTAATTGGGAAATACACAATTATTGTTTTTGATTTGTCAAGACAGGGTTTCTCTGTAGCTTTTGGAGCTTGTCCTGGAATATGCACTGAAGACCAGGCTGGCCTCAAACTCACAGAGCTCCACCAGTCTCTGCCTCCTGAGTGCTGGAATTAGAGGTGTGCACCACCATAACCTGGCTGGGAAATACCTACTGTTTAAGGAAAATTATTTTCATCTTTTTGTTGTACTTCAAAATTAAAATTTTGACTTAATCAATAAATTCAAAGTGTATTTAGTCAGCATTTTTTGAGAACTTATGCTAAAGAAACACATAAATATAACAAAGTTTTCCAACTTTAAAAAAAAACATGTTAAATTCCTAGGAATTCCTAATAGAAACTGACCCTTTTAGAACATTTTAAGAAGGTACTACTCCAAAAATCTTTTGGAGAGTGCTCATGCATCTGTCAAATTAATCATCAAGGAATCTAGAAGAGAAGAAGCAAGTCAGAATTCATTCTTTGCAGGTTCTCCTCAGGACCTTCTGGCATGCTACCAATTCTCCGTTGTCTTAGATTTTGGCATTTGTGTCTTCTCTATGACAGAAAGTAAGATATTTGTGTCCGTTCCGTGGAAATATAAACACATAGACATCCTATAGAGCTCCGCCTCTTGGCCTTTCATCTTATCTTCAGTTTTCACACCACTGATTATAAAACAGATCAAATCTGTAAGCAGTGTTGCTGTCCCTTGCTCTTCATGATGCCCTGCACGTGGGAGAGGAAGGCAGCCTCCCCATCCCACTGAGCACAATGCAGACACCCGAAGTCCAGCTGTTTAAATGTAATTGGTAACTAAGACAAATGACAAAGGGGAGCTTCTGATAACAAGTAACTTGTTTTATTAATAGATGATATATGTCGTATATGATTGCAATTCATATAAAGAGAGTGAATATTTTATGTGTATACAATCTTCCTAAGTGAATGATGGGCTCCATGACACCCAAACCTGATAACACTCAACTCCATTATGTAAAATTTCATACAAAAAAAGGTTCTGTATATATTCAATACAGGCACAACCTTTTTTTTCCCCTTCAATTATTTCAATCCTTAGATAGATGACTCTTCAGAACTAGAGTCCGGAATATGGAGACTTGCCTATATGTGTTTAAATCCAACCTCAACCATACTTCATGGTGCAGTGCCCTTGCTTTCATCTGGTTTTGTTTCATAAGTATATTTATCACATCTGTGAATGAAGCAGAATAAGAATCATCTTTTCTCTTTGACTGTGTGCTTTTGTAGCCTTTCAACCCTGAAGTAAAAACTTAAGAACCCAGCAGGCTCCTTGGGTAACTGTGCTTTGTAGTATATTCAATTATGAGTTGCATTTGGATTTATATAAATTTAATTAAATGGTGGTATAAATACAATATAATGTATTTTTAATTTAGACCTTATGATTCATTTTCCTTCCTGTGTAGCTCATTTCTCCACATGTGCATAGATCTGATAACGCTATCTCGGTTGAAGTGTTGAAGAGTCAGTGTTCACTCTAAGAAGATCCATTTTCTTGCAACTCATTTTACAATACTTTCAGCTTTAGAGAATTGTCAAAGCCAGACTTGACATTCTAATACTGATACATTTTCTTTAATATCCAATATTATCATGTGATTGAATGTTTAAATCACTTTTAAATGCTACCAAATGAAATAAATTATTAAGTATTGCAACTTACTATTTTATTTCTGACTTCAGGTAGAAGAAGGGATGCATCTTTTGATAACTGGTCCCAATGGTTGTGGGAAAAGCTCTCTCTTCAGAATCTTAAGTGGGCTGTGGCCTGTGTATGAAGGAGTCCTCTATAAACCACCTCCCCAACACATGTTCTATATTCCACAGAGGTAAGACATTCTTCATATTAAGTGAAGACCATTGCGTTTGCTCTTGAATTGTGTTTATTCCTCAGGCTCTTTGGTGTATGCTCAACTAAGGGTATTTTCATTGAGAGAAACTATTGAATAAGTAGGAATGAGTTCAGCTATCCCCAGAGTTCTTTTTCACTGTTTTGACTATAATAGATTCTGGATCAGTGCCGCTTCTTGTAGTTTCCACACTTGATAAGATGCTAAGAATATTCAAAGACTTCAGATGTCCTGGGAAAGAATAAATGGATCCAAAGAATAATTAGATGTCAGATTATCTTCTTGGAGATAACAATATAGTGCTTTGGTTCTATTCAGGTCTTTCCACCATATTACATACACTCACATGCCTGAAAATTCTCCATTCAAGCCTGAAAGTGTCCTTACAGTCTTTATTGTGATTATTCTACATAGTTAATAATTTTAACCACCTTAATTAAAATTGCTTTAAGCATGAGAAAATAAGATAAGCAAGGAACAGCTCGTTATTTTTGCCAAAATCTTTAGCCATTTTTCCATCATAACAACTACAGAAGTATCTAAACTCAACGTTATATATTTGGGAGTTTAAAGTATTTATTGTGGGTGAGAGAAAACCAGATATAGACAAAAGATAAGCTTCTGTGGTCCCATGAGTTCTTCAAGTGTCAGCCAGGTTCAGTAGATACTACATTACAGGCATTGCATCCGGGTCACCCGGTCTGCCATCTGGGCCAAGCAGACAGGACACAGTGTTCCCTCTGATCAGAGGACTTCATGGAGACATGTATTAGAGAACCTAGGATGGAAGCATGGGGCTAGGACACAAGTTCATGTCACACTGAGGGCTGGCATCTCACACGTTAGTCCCCTCTTCTCTGTCAGTAAAAGGTGCTATCATCCTGCCCTTTGGTCTGAGCTTCCGACCATAAGCAGCAGTTAGAGTCTGTGACATTATTTTCTTTCAAATAGGACTCATGGCAGTAGTAGCATGATGCAGTCTGGTGTATAGGAAGATGAAGAAAAGTGTTGGCTGAAAATGTTAAATAAGAGCAGTGTTGTTGGTACCCGAGTTTAACACAACTCAAATGCCATGCGACACCGTAAGCACTGTTTCTTCTCTGTCTTTTGGGTAACCCCGGTTTTCTACCTCAGTTTGAGTTTTATAAATGAATGTAGCAAGTAGCCTGATTTCAATGTTGCACCTAAGCCATACGGTATAGAACCACGTGAAAAATTTTCCATCAAGAAATGTATTCTTGATGAAAATGAAAGCATATAAATAAAGTTTGCTTTTACCCATTGAATATTTTATGTATTGTATGAATGAAACGCTTTTGAATCTACATGTGTTATAGTGAAAAGAGTTTCCTAAGTAGTGGGCAAGTTTATGAAGGTGACTAAATTAACCTTTACCCTTAGAGTGAACAAGCCATGATGTTTAACAATAAACAGAAATTGTTAAGAAATTTTTCTTATGAAATGTATTTTTGCCTGAGCAAAACTTCCAACTCTAACCTAGTTTAAGGAAAAAAAATAAGCAGGAGTAGTCCATATTTTAGTTCTTACATGATTATTGTTTTAAGTCAGTTCACCTGATTATGCATCTAAAGGCATGGGAAATCATATTTACACTTAAATTTTTATAGAGTCACATTCCTTCCACTTTTGCTCAACATTTATTTAAAACACAAATGCAAGTCCAGTTGTAGTGTTTATTTCTTATATTCTAAAAGCCAGTGATTTTTTTCAAGTAAGTTTTCAAATGATCACAGAAGATTTTATTACTTAATAGAAGATAACAATATGACCCCTTTTAAAATGTGTGTCAGTAAATGAACTTAGATCATCAAACAAATGACTACTATGATTAATTTTTCCACGACTCCCTAGCAATGGAATGTAAGCTAACTACTAGTTTGGCAGAAAAATCAATGCAGAATTCAGGCCTGTGTATGAACTCTATAAGTCATTAAACCGATTCTACAGTTAATCATTGTGATAGAAGTATTTCTTATTAGAGAACGGGTCTGTTTATGCAGCAATTAAATGCAAAATGCATCGCTGCTTTCACTGGTGAAAATGCAGTAGGTTTTATGACAGTGGGTTTCTTATATTATGTAATAAGCAAAATAAAAGTACTCGGGGAAAAGTTCGCAGTTGGTTTTGGACCAAACCTTCACACACAGGGACCAACACAGAAACGCTCCTCTGACTCATTTTAAAAATTGGGAAACATGAAGTCTTGAAAAATTGTGAAATTGCACTTGCATTTTCTCAGTTGGTGTCCTCTAATGCTTTAGCAATGTTCATAACAAGAACCAGATCATTGGGAAACTGGGCCTTGGTACATGAAGACAGAGTTGGTCTGTTTAAATTGCATCCACGCCATTGTCCCTCACCCTGTGTTCATCGATGACAAAATATAAGAACTGGAGCAGCCGTAGGTTTTAGGACAGAATGTTTCGTCTGGAAAGTGCATTAGCCACCTTCCATCTGTGGGCTGGTGAATGGCAAGAGGCTGGGGCTTTGCTCAAGTAGTACTGGGAACCTATTCTGGGACTTTCCAAGGGAGACCTAATGTCCTGCACCATCTGAGTGTGCCCCTTAATCAGATGGCTGATGCTCATCACCCCTACTGGACCAGCTTTCATGAATCTCAAGAAGCATCTTCCACTTTGGTTCCACTTTGGTATATTTCCTGAATTAGTTTTTTAATTCTTGGTACCTTTTCTCTTCTTCCCAAGCCTCTAAATATAGGCTGATATATATAGACTCTCTGCTCTTGTTTTCACTTCTTCCTGAATTTATTGTCTATGATTCACTTACTTATCCCTTGGTGAGTTTCTGTCTGTAGCTGTCACAGCCCCCAAAGTCAACTTTACAGTTCTACGTGTATTTAACTTAGTTTCCTAGCTAACCAATACTATTAATGCACTGACCATCATCAAAATGAGACATTGAAATACGGGATGTGGGAGAACCTAGAGGAAAGGAAGGAGGGAAGAAAGAATGACAAAGGGGCACTTTGCATCCCTTAGTGGTACTTTAGCTAGCCTCCAGGGATCATTAGTATACGCACATTCTCTTTTCAGCAACTTCTATGGTTGGGCACAACCCAGCCTGGAATTGGGTTTTATATGTTCCTGTCTCACTCTTCTTTGAAGGAAATTATCTCAGGAGAGAGGCGCTAACGAAGCTCTTACTACTCAAAACGGCATTCCCATAAACTACATCAAAGAACCGGAGATAGACTTAGACTTCCTACAGTCATATTATCGAAATTTGTGTACATACATATGTCTAAATTCTGTCCATCAGTCACTCTGAGTCTGAGAAATAAAACATTAAACAAAGAAAGATTATATACAATCTTCATAAGGCTTGTATTAAGCTGGGTGATGGTGGCACACACCTTAAATCCCAGCACTCAGGAGGCAAAGACAGGTTGATCTCTGAGTTGGAGGCCCGCCTGGTCTACAGAATGAGTTCTAGGCCAAGCAGGGCTACACAGGGAAACTCTGTCTCAAAAACAAAAGCAAAAACAAAAGGAATTGTATTAAATTAGCCAAACTTCCTGCGGGTGGGAGGGTCTTGTGTTGAACCCATGCCTCAGGCATGCTGAGCACACACTTCCCCACTGAGCTTTGCTCAGGACTGAATGACCACCAGATTTCCTTCCTATTGGCAAATCTGCCTGTCTGCTCTGGCATCTTACACTATAAACCATCTGTCGATTTTGTGACTTGCACTAGGTATGTTGCCTAATCCTCTTTGTGATGGATAAATGTCAATTAGCAGTTCTTTTTTAAAGAAATTGCTGAAGCAGCCATGAAGGCTGTGTAGATCTAGATCTTGAGGCTAATTCCTTGCTTTCTAATACTAGATGCAAACTGTTGGATGAGGTAATTTTCGTAATAGTAAATGTCTTTTCGGAGTTGAGTATCTCTTATTTCACTAAAAACCATAAGAATGTTAGGAATGATATTGTGCACTCAGAACTCACATCTTAAGCTTGCTGTGCATGAAAAAGCCCGATAACATGATTGGTTCAACCTGCGCGTTTTTTTTTCAGTGATTGGCAGTGAGTATGGTTTGCTCCGCCTTCTTCCTGTTTGGTCACACGGCTGGAGAAATGGCATATCACTCTTCAACTTTACACTCCCATGCCTTAGAGTTAAAACTGTTCAACCTTTATCAGTATTATCCAGTTAAACTATATAGTTTTGAAATGCTTGACTCTGAGCACAAAGGTAAAGATTATACTCTTCCATGTTCTTCTCTTCTTTCCTCCGTTGTCTCAAATATAGAATAAGCAAAATCCAGAAAAATCTAGCAAACAATAAATTATATCAAAAAGAAATATCAAAGCTGGGCGGAGGTGGCACACGCCTTTAATCCCAGCACTCGGGAGGCAGAGGCAGGAGGATCTCTGGGAGTTCGAGGCCAGCCTGGTCTACAAGAGCTAGGTCCCAGACGGGCACCAAAAGCTACAGAGAAACTCTGTCTCGAAAAACCAAATATATATATCAAATACTTCAGTGTTAAGACCAGATAATGAGAGTCTAAAGCAAAATTTAAAAATATCTAGGATGCTTTTAATAACTAATAACTATGAAAATTTAATTACTGGGTATGGATTTGATCTCCAATACTTTTACTAAGACAGTTAATCATTTTTTAAATAAGTGCAGGTATAAGATATCACAGAAAAACAATTACAGTTCATTGCTAAATTCTTTCCCAGGAGGAACAAACTTTCCTTCAGACGTATATACTTTAGATATTTCTATTAGCATCGTGAAGACTGGGTAGGACGTGAAGCATTACAAAGCTATCGTTATTTTGCCTCATCAGCAAAGATGATAAATTTCTAGTAAGATAAATTTCTCTCTGTAAACCAGAAGAAATTAGATGATTTTGAAATATCTATAGAAATTATAAGTATTTTGATGAAGTTACAGATTTACTCTCCTTTTTTAAGAATGAAGGCATCTGAAGTATTGAGATCTTGGAAGTCCTATAAACTACACAGGTGAACTAGAGGCTAGCCAAAGAAAATCTACATAAACCTGAAGTACTTTGTTAAATACTTAACAGGATCTATCTTTTACATCTACACAGACACCTATTATCCATTAATCACATTAAGGATAATAAAACTTACTAAGGGCTAAAAGTCCACAGGCAGCTATCCGATGAGAGTGAAATATTTTGTATTTATTTGTTCTTTTTTTCCCAAGAATTGTTTTCATTGCTGGGGATCAGCCAGCACTGCATGACAGGCAAGTGCTCCCCCAGAGAGCTACACCTCCATCCCGCCTTTGTTTTGTTTTCACTTAGAGAAGGCAAGAGAAATGAACTTCTTATTTAAATGACGATCACTTATTGAGCACCTTCCTTCGTGCCTGTGTTACAGTAAACAGTCCTGCCGCATTGTCTCGTTTGGCCGCTTCACTCTGCACTCGCGATAAGTGGAATAAAATAAGTGACTTCACAAACGAACAGGGTCAGGTTCGGAGTTGAGTGATGGAGTCTATGCAGAACCACCCCTCTAGAGCCCTCTGTTATCACAACCGTTACTCTACACTGTATAGCACAGAGTGGTGGATGCTGAAGCACGGACAGGAATGACGACTTCATCAAATGCTAGCCGTTCATCAGGGTGTACAGCAAAGCCTTTAGCGGTGTTCATAGACTGGATGCACAGGTGTAATTTTAACATTGCAGTCTTGGCTGTGCCATGTGACGGAACTGCTCTTTACATTAGCATCTATGCTTTATGCTAAGGTGGAGGAGACCTGCACCTACCGATGTGGGTTACGTTAGAGCTGGCATCGATTTCAAGTCAGTAAGCATTCTCTTTCCTAAGGTCCCGAATAGTCACTAAGCTGCAAAGTGGTCCTACTTCACATCAGTGTTAGTGCTATGATTTGTAGGTGTGAATTTAAGATAATTCTGAAAATGACTGCTTAAGGTGATGTGTGTAAGCAAATGAACATGCACAGTATTCTGCTTTAAGAGAATGTGACTAGAATGGATAAGGAAAGGAGAGAGGGCTGAAGGAGAAACTTTAAATGTAGGACAGGAATGTGACTGGGGATGGTTCAGTTCTTTTGGAAAACAGCTTGGCCGTTGCCCAGAAAGATCTTTGCCGCACAGTTTCTTTTATTGGTTTATACCCAATGTGCATAATTCTCCAAAGCAGTAAACAATGAAATATCCTTCAGGAGATGAATGAATGAATCAAATGTGGCTTGCACCTACAATACAATATCATAATAATATTCAGCTCTAGAAAGGAATATAGCACATTCTAAGACACACTTGAACCTGAGAACATTTTGCCATTAGGGAGAAGTCAATCGCGAAAGAGCACACATTGTGTGAATCTGTGTATTTGTTATATTCAGAATAGGCAACTCCATGGAGACGCGAAATAGACTGGTTACAAGGAGCCGCCAGATGACAATGTCTGATTCTGGCTATGGGGTTTCTGGAGGTAGGAGCCAAGAAAAGTTTTCTCAAGCTGGGCATGACGGCCAGTTGATCTTGTGGATGTGTTAAAAGCCACTGAATCATAGACATTAAAGGCTGATATGAAATCTTAAACACATGCCAAATTAAACAAAGATATTCAAGTGGTTCTTTGCATTTGCGAAAATCTTTTATGTTTGTGTGTAGTTGAAACACAAACATTCTTATTTCAAATAATAGATAGATATAATACAAAACAATTATGTTCTAAGAGTCCCTCAAAGAAACACTTTGTAAATGCTGTGAAAAAATAAGTGGACATTTAGTCTGCAAACCATGGTTTGTATTTAAAGCCTTTCTCCTCAGCCAAACATACAGGGCTGCTGTAATTTTTTAAATATTTTAAAGATGTGTATAAATGTTTTACCTGCATGCATTTCTATGCACCACACGAATGCCTGATGCCCTTGGAAGTCAGAAGAAGGTATTGGAGCCGCTGGAATTTATAAATAGGTGTGAGCCGTCACATGGGTACTGGGAACCAAACAGGGATCCTCTGAGCCACAGCATCTAGCTCTTACTGTCTGGATAAAACAGACACTTACTTAGGATGGCCCGGTGTTCCTGACAGAGCTGCTCTAGTTGGGCACAGTTTGTGAAGTCCCTGCCTGTGTTAGTCCCCACTACTGCTGCCACAAGTCACCAAATACTGGCGGTTTAAACCAATGAAGAGCCAAACTGGATGGTCCGGTGGATAAGAGCACTTGCTGTTGAACGCAAAGAGAAATTCACTCTATTGCCTATATGATCTGATTGTTAGAAAAAATGGCCTTCAGATACTCCAGGTGAGAATGGAGTTAAGAAACTGTTTTGAATCATTTTATAATTTCTTGAAGCTCTGTAGCCAGTGTTTCTTAACTTGTTCCATTCCTATCCTTTTCCTCCTGTCTTCTGTTGTCATGGTATCTGTTTGATAGTGATAAACAACAGTCAGTTCCTTGCTTCTCAATTAATTTTAGCTAACTGTTTAGTTAATTTTATTCATCAAATAGTAACATTTTAACATGGCTATAAAATCAAAACTTGTATAGAAAGGGTGTGGTGCATGCCTTTAAGAGGTAGAAGCAGGTAGATCTCTGTGAGTTCATGGCCAGCCTGGTCTACACAGGACAGGCAGGGCTACATAGGTAGGCCCTGTCTCAATGTCTCAAGAACAGAAGAGAAAGAGAGAGAGAGAGAGAGAGAGAGAGAGAGAGAGAGAGAGGGGGGGAGAGAGAGAGAGAGGGAGGAGAGAGAGAGAGAGAGAGAGAGAGAGAAACAGAGAGAGAGAGAGAGAGAGAGAGAGAGAGAGAGAGAGAGAGAAGAAAAGATGTTTAGATGTTTAGAGAACATGTTTACTCTATCCATTTCACCTCCTTGGTGACCTCTTTTCTGGCTTGCTTCTCCTGTTTCCTCCTGTAGGTGAAACCAAAGGTGTGTATTTATATCACCTTCATCTTCTTTTCATAGAAGGTGACAAACTGTCTACTGGTGTTTCTCAATTGAGGACAACTTTGTGACCTAGGGGAATTTGCCCCATTGTGGAGACTTGTAGACAGTGTTTAAAATCATGTTCGAGGCGATGATGCTGACACCTAGTGGATAGAGACCAGGTGTGCCACTAACCTTCTCTAAGCGGACGCCAAGGGCAAGGACATCCAGTCAGCTTGTTGAGGCTGCTAGGAGACACCCAGCTCTGGGTCCGCTTTCACCTTTTCCTTTGCAGCTGAATGGTGATCACAGAACTAACTCTGTTTCTTCCTGGGTATCTGTCTGGCCTCTTTAGTGCCTCACAGTAGGTCCAGATAGAGGTCTTCTCAGGAGGTAGAGATAGTCGATTCAAGGATTCTCTCAGCCTGCTCCTTTAACTAGGCTTTGGATATTTTGACCCTGCAAATGGCACTGCAATGGGTAAGCTCAGGAAAGTTTTCCTTTTTGACATTTTTAGGAGCATATCCTCCGAGAAAATTCTCAGAAGTAGGTCAAAAGGCAAATGACATGTCATTTTGCCAGATTTCCCGCAAGGAGGTTGGATTTTCACCATGGTATGGGAACATCTGTTTTTCCCTTGGGCCCGTCAGCTGACTGAATTATCAAGCTGTTGGATTTTTTGCTAGTCTGATAAACAAGAAAACCAATGCCATATTAATTTACATTTTCTTACTAATAATATTGTGCCTTTCAGTTTGTTTGTCTACATTGCTGTCAAAACTCCAAGTTTTATGTTTAATGTAAATAATTTTAGATGTACAGAAGCAATCTTTATCAGATATGGCTGTAATAGTCAGTGTTTTTTAGATGAACAGAACTGACAGAATGACAGACAGATAGGTAAATATTGATTTGTTTAAGGAAAATATTTAAAAGGGATTTATTAGAGTGGCTCACAGGCTGTGGTCCAGCTAGTCCACCAATGGCTGTCTACCAAGGGAAGTCCAAGAATCCAGCTGTTCAGTCTGCAAGGCTGGGTCTCTCCGCTGCTCTTCAATATATGCCAGGATCTGGAAGAAGTAGGCACTAATAACAATGAGGGAGTGAACTCGCCAATGAAAGTGATGACAAGCAGGCAAAGAGAGAACGCTTCCTTCTTCCGTGTCCTACATAAAGGCTGTCACCAGAAGATGTGGTCCAAGTTAAAGATGATAGATCAAAAGATCAGAACTGAAAGTAAGTCTTCCCAATTCACATGTTTTAATTAAGAAGAAATCCTCACTGGTGTGCCCAGACCCTTGGGTTTTAGTCAGCTCTAGATCGAGTCAAGTGGACAACAAGACTAGTCATCACAGTGGTGAAACAAAATAATTTTGCTGCAGAAAATAATCAGATGATCGCTTATAAAAAGCTTTTCTGTTTGTATATCTCTACTGTTTTCATAAACCAGGTATTATTTTGAAGACTCGCCAAGAAACATAATATAATCCTATAAATTGAGGGATAAAGTCTGCTGTGTTCCAGCCAGCAGGCTGTCACCCTGGGTTAGCTAACATGCCGTTGCACCAGAACTCACATGCTGGGTTTTTTGCAGGCCATACATGTCTCTTGGAAGTCTGCGTGATCAAGTCATTTATCCTGACTCGGTGGATGACATGCACGAGAAAGGTTACACTGACCAAGACCTAGAAGGCATTCTGCACAGTGTCCACCTCTACCACATAGTTCAAAGAGAAGGAGGTAGAGTATGGCATTTTTTAAAGTGTGGTGTAACTTTATTTACAGAGCAATTGTGGGCTGTGAGTGATGGTGTGCACCAGTCATGTTAACACTTGGGGCATGGAGGCAGGAGGGTCAAGAACAAGTCACCCTCCCCAGTGCAGCAAGTCTGAGACTACATCAAAACATTGTCCCCTCCTCCACCTCCAAAAAAGCATCAATTAATTAAGTAAGTAAACCTAGCTTTGGTACTAGTTACCAAATACCCAACAGAAACAGCCTGTGGGATGCATTTCCCCTCTTGCTGAATGTTTTGGGGGTGTCCCTCTGTCATGGTGTAGAGGAGGTGCTACAGCACAGTTCTCACCTGGGAAAGCCTCTGGCTTTCTCCTTCTTCTCTCCCTTTTGTTTTCCCTGAGCTTCATCCCGGGTCTTCTTTTTCAGTCAAGTCTCTCTAGAAGTGCTCCCTCTAAAACACATAGGCATGCTGCACAATGGGGGACTAACTCTAGTCAAGGTGACAATAGTGATGACTGTCCCAGATGTGTATCAAGTCTGTCTTTTCTGTATATGAGATACTATTAGACCCTTGCAGCTAAGTAGGGATTTCTTCTTGTTCTGTTATAGATATTCTGGTTTTGCCTGTCTTGTGATTAATATGGCACCTTTCCCTTTTACCAGTCTCTGTAACACCATATCTAGCACTTAAAGACCTTGATATTTACATGTATAAGTATTCCTTAGGTCACCATTGTTCTAGATGTATGTAAAGTCTATAATGAAATATTTGCTAGCCAAGCTCTTTCACCTTACATTAAATGTCATTTTGAAAAGTAGATTTCACACAGTTTGTTTTCAGTCCCACAACCTTTCTAATATGTAATATATATATATATATATATATATAATCTTTAGGCAAGAAATAAGAGATTAAATAACATGTAAAACTTCTTCATTGTAAGTTTCTTTAGAATAAGACATATATGAAAGAGTGGGAATATGTATATGTATGAGCTTTCAATTCAGCTGGTTTCTAATATCAAATTTAACATAATATACTCACGCATATGGCTCTGGAATCTATCCATATGCTTTACAAAATACAAAGCTCTTCCCATTTTCAATCAAAACGGGCCAAGAACTGCTAATCCAGAATAGAAGTAGTAACAAATCAGCAAAGTATCCGTAACTGTGTGTATGTATGTATGCATTTATTGTTTGCTCGTTTGTTTTTCAGGATGGGATGCTGTTATGGACTGGAAAGATGTCCTATCGGGAGGGGAAAAGCAGAGGATGGGTATGGCCCGGATGTTCTATCATAAGTAAGTGTGCTGTGCTCAGAAAACTATGATCCATTACTGACATAATAAAATATTCAGCAGGATTCAGCAGTCCCATCTTAGGTTCCGTAATATCGGACTGGGAGACTGGAGAGATGGCTGGATCCGTGGCAAAAGGTGCCTTCCACCAATCACAACCTGAGGTGGATCTCTTAAACTAGTGGCTCTCATCCTTCCTAACGCTGCAACCCTTTAATACAATTCCTCATATTGTGATGAGCCACAACCATAACATTATTTCTTTCCTACTTCATAACTGTGATTTTTCTACTGTTACGGATTACATTTGATATGCAGGATATCTGATATGCTACCCCCAAAAGGGGTTGTGACCCAAAGATTGAGAACCACTCCCCTAGACCCATATGATAGAATGAGAGACCCAACAATTACTTCACATTGTCCTCTGTCCTCCAGATGTACCATGATGTGCACACTCACACACAAACACGTAAACAACTGTAGTACATAAATCTAATAAAACAAAGACAGGAGGAGACAGAGGCACTGAATGACATTTAAAAAAATATCTTAAAACGTGTATAAAATTTATACTTTTGAGTGTCTATTTTTTATTTCACTAATCACTCCGTATATTTCAGCTTGTAAGATAATAGCACATATTATTTATCATAATTATATGTTTATTTAGAAAACATTGATAGATAAAAAGAATTAGAAATATTTTATCTCATTAGCTGTCAAAACCATTGTTAAATTTTTGAATAACTACTTCTGGTCTTACCAGGCACAAGTTGGTAGTAACCTTAATTGTCTTTATGTGTTTCATAAGTTGCAGTTTATATCCCTGCCTTAGTTTCATATGCTATCATATGCCTCTCTTTGTTATTCTTTAACACTTAGCCTGAGTTCGCTATCATTGTTATAAAATGTATGTATTAAGTATATGTTGTAGGTATATACTTCAATAATCTTTTGTAAATGTAGGAACCTTATGTAACCAACAACTCAACCAAGACAAAGAATGTGTTTATTACCCTGGAAACGGCTCTTAACCCCTTTTTTGGTCCTGTTCTGCATATGCCCATAACTGTTCTGGTTTTTCTGCTTTATAACATCACATAAATGAAAGCATGCACTATGCAATTTTATACATATCTGTGATTTTTAGGAAAGAAACATAGTTGTCTTAATACGTATTATAATAATAAGTTGCCATTGTTAGTCTGCGAATAGACAGTCTTTTTTAAAAAATGAACCGGATTTTTTTAACTCCGGACTTTTCCTCCTATGATTTGAAATGCTGCCTTCTCCAGTGAGATTCAAGGGCAAACAGCAGCTTGACATTTATGGCCAGCTGTTAGCCCATCTCTGTGAACTGGCTTGAGTTTCATCCCCAAATACTCAGTAATATGATCAGCAACCTGTGAAGGGTGATGTGGAAGATTGCAAGTGACCAGTTTCCTTTTCTCTGTGTTAAGAAGATAACCCGATATTTCAAGTACCTGTAATTTGGAATAATTGGGATTTGTGATTGTGAAGGGGTGTAGGTCTAACATAATAATGAGTGAAGATCAAGTCAATTCTGTGAGATCGAGGAAGACAAGCACGTTGTTAAAAGGCAGCACTTTTGCAAAAGAATCAGATAAATTAGAAAATTAAACACAGCGAAGGAAAAGTGTATTGTTGAGAAACTGCATCTTCCCATCCTCACAGGATCAGCAATAAGGTCATGACTATGAGATGACATCACATACTGAACTTTAATAGGAAAGATCTGAGCCAGCGACAACAGAGAACTCTGGCCAGAGATTATACCATGCATACTATCATAAAGCATAAGTAGAATATGCTTTATGAGAGTCTTATGATTTTAATATTTAAAGAATGACCAGGGAAATTCTGTCTTAGAAGGATAGCTTCATTCTTTTACATATCCTATGCCATTAACAATACAGCAAGGGGGCAAAAGAGAAACAAAATCTAAGAGATGACATCATTTAATACTATGAGTATTTGTTCTGTAAGTGCCCAATCTCTCTCTCTCTCTCTCTCTCTCTCTCTCTCTCTCTCTCTCTCTCTCTCTCTCTCACACACACACACACACACACACACACACACTGTCTAAGTCTGCCAGGAAAACAAGTATATGATTCATCTTACATTCCTTAGACTAGAAGTTGCTGTAACAACAGAGTATAAAATATACTTTTCTCTATTTAAAAATAGCATATCTTCTTTAGTTCAAAATACTCTAACAAGCAAGACAAAATACAATAAACAAAGGGCTTCATTAAAAAGAAAATTTTACCTAAATATTTCTCTTTTATTCTTTTTTTCATCTTTTCTCCTTAACTAAAATCACAAACAATAATTAACACAGAGAAAGAAATAATATTTTATAAATACTAACAACTCTGCTGTTGTCTTGGGGACGCTGCAGTGATCATTCAACACTTTCTTAATCAACCCCATGGAGCATTAAAAATGCGTTAACCCCTGCATCTAGGAGCCTTCACCATCTCCAGGATAGGTAACAGGATCCTATTAATCAGCAAACACGTGTTAGGAAATAACTTACAATGCCAAGTTTATGGAAAATTAAAAATTTCTACTGATTTGGTGTTAGAGGCCATGAGTTTGAAAGAGAATAGGGTGGGGTACATGGGATGGAGGGCGTGAAAGGAAAAAAAGAGGAGAAATGATGTAATGATAATCTCAAAAAATGAAAATTAAAAATAAATAAATATAATTTCATGGTGAAAACTGGCCTGGAAAACTTTGAAACTAAAAGAAGCAAAATCACCCAGGAGAAATAAATGACAGGAAATAACCAAATTGAGGATTGAAATCAATGAAATAGAAATGAAGAAAACAATGCAAAGAATCAATGAAACAAAGAGCTGGTTCTTTGAGAAAATCAACAAGATAGGCAAACCCTTATCCAAACTAATCAAAGGGCAAAAAGAGAACATCCAAATTAACAAAATTAGAAATGAAATGAGGGACATAAAATTCTGAGGAAATTCTGAGAATCATTAGGTCATACTACAAAAACTTGCACTCCACAAAATTGGGAAATGTGAAAGAAATGGACAATTTTCTGGAGAGTCCAAAATTAAATCAAGACCAGTTAAACAGGTTAAATAGACCTATAACCTTCAAGGAAATAGGAACAGTCATCAAAAGCCTCCCAGCCAAAATTAACCAAAACAAAACAAACAAAAAAACAAAAACAAAAACCAGGACCGGGTGGTTTCAGTGTAGAATTCTGCCAAAACTTCAAAGAAGAGCTAATACCTATACTTCTCAAATTGTTCCACACAATAGAAACAGAAGGAACATTGTCAAACTCTTTTTTATGATGTTACAGTTACCCTGATACTGAAACCACACAAAGACTTAACCAAGAAAGATAATTATAGACCAATCTCACTCATGAACATTGATGCAAAAATGCTCAATAAAATACTGGCAGACTGAATCCAAGAACACATCAAATAAGAAAATCATCCATCATGATCAAATTGGCTTCATCACAGAGATGTAAGAATGATTCAACATATGAAAATCTAACAATGTAATCTGCCACATAAATAAACTGAAAGAAAAAAAACATGATCATCTCACTAGATGCTGAAAAAACAGTTGACAAAATCCAGCACCCCTTCATGATAAAGGGCTTGGAGACAGTAAGAATACAAGGAATATATCTAAACATAATAAAGGCAATATACAGCAAGCCAACAGCCAGCATCAAATTAAATGGGGAGAAACTCAAAGCAATTCCACTAAAATCAGGAACAAGACAAGGCTGTCCACTCTCTCCTTATTTATTCAACAAAGTTCTTGAAGTTCTAGCTAGAACAATGACACAACGAAAGGAGATCAAGGGGATACAAACTGGAAAGGAAGAAGTGACCCTAATTTTCAAAACCAAAATGAAAATACCAAATGGTAGTGTTCATATAGACTCAAGTCTCAGTAACCTAGGTCGGGTTGCTGGGCAAGTAAAAAAATAAAGAAAGAAAGAAAATGAATGAAAACAACTGTGTTTGCTTTGCCACGTCCACCATAACCAATGTCACATTCTTCCTACTCCCTGCTGTACAAAGAAAGACACAGTTTCCAAGAAAATTCATTCATCTCTTTGTATTTTTTTTTCCCAGACCAAAGTATGCCTTGCTGGATGAATGTACCAGCGCCGTGAGCATTGATGTGGAAGGAAAGATCTTTCAGGCTGCTGTGGGAGCTGGGATTTCCTTACTGTCCATAACACACAGACCTTCTCTGTGGTAGGTGCTTCTTGGATCCTACTCTGGATGGAAGCTCTATTTGTTCTTCTTAAAGGATAACTTTGCTAAATTTCTCCCTGTAGAGTATAAGGTATTTCATTTCTTTTCTATCTGTCCTCTGATTTCCCTAACACTTTAGGTCCCCCCGGCCTAATGTAACCTTAACATGGTATATGGAAATGAGTTCCTCTAATCATTTTGAAAAGTTACGTGAAAATCTGATGGTTTATCTGAACTAAAAATCTTTATAACACTAGAATGTACAGTGAAAGATTATGGAGTGGTGTAAGGCTACTCAATTCTTTCAACGTTTCCTTTAAAATCTGGGGAAAACATAAAAACGTTATAACAATACTTCCAAAACTACCAAGTTAGAGGAATCACAGTATATAGAAACCATTTTTGTTTTTGTTGTTGGCTTTAAGAAAAAATGAGCCTGGTAGGAACTGGCATTAAATCTCCCTTCGCCATTATAACAGTGTTGAAGAATGAAGGGAAGGGTCAGAAATCATGAATGATTTTTGTACTGTTATCTACTTAAAGGAGAAGGCCCTCTCAGCAAATACCTTTAACCCACTGAGCCATCTCACTATGTCACTGTCCCTAAACTTCCTATTTCAATTATATGGTTATGGGGTTTTTTTGTAAATTTTCCTCCTTGAAATATAAATACAGTGTTTTCAATTTAATTTTTATGTGGACTTATATGTTAAATAGTTAATATTTTGGACTCATTTTCTTATTATTAAAAATAATTTTTTTCATATTCTATATTCTGATCACAGTTCCCCCTTCCCCAGCGCCTCCCACCTTCTCCCCCTCTTCCCTACCCACCTAACCCACACCTTCTATCCCTCACCAGAAAACAGGCAACAAAACAACAACCAAACAGACAAAAGAAAAGAGCCAAAGAAAAAGCCCCCCAAAAAATATAGACAGATGTAAAGACACACACTTCTGTTCACATAGAAATTCCATGAAATTACAAAATGGGAAACAATAACATGTAAGCATAAGGCCTGTAAGGTTAAAAAAAACACACACACACAAAGCATTATTAGAAAAAACACTCCACAAATATCACTGAGTTTGTTTTGTGTTTGAAATCTCCTGCTGACATGGGGTCTGTCCTAAAGTGTGGTATGTATTCATTCCCAGTGAGACTCCATTGGAGAAAGGTATTTTTTTCTTTGTGAGTGGTTGTCGATTGGAAATAGCTTCTGGGCTATTGTGTTCACTTCTTTCAACATTGGAACCCATCTGTCTTAGGCCTCCTTAGCAGGTCCAGGGCATGTGACAGTCTCCGAGTTCATGTGTGCTGTTGTATCTAGAAGGCCTTGTTTCCTCAGAATTCTCTCTCCTCTCTGGCTTTTAAGATCTTTCAGTATCCTTTTCTACAGGGTTTCCTGAGCTGTGGGGTGGGGATAGGGGTTTTATGGGGACATCCTGCAGAGGACTGAGTGTTCCAAGGTCTCTCACTCTCCACACATTGTCCAGCTGTGAGTGTCTGTAGTTGTTTCCAGCTCCTGCAGGAGGAAGCTTCTGTGATGATAGTGAGCAATCCTTTCTTTAGTATATCAGCAGTATTTGGTTTTCCCCTATCTAGTCTTAAGTTCTTGGCCATCCAAGCAGTGTTAGGAAAGGGTTCCATATGATGGAGTGGGTCTTATAGTGGCCAGATAGTGGTTGGTTATTCCCATGTCTTTTGTGCCACTATTGCCCTGGCATACCATGCAGGCAGGACACCTTTGAAGATCACAGTCTTTGTAGCTGGGTCGGTCCTACATTTCTCCTCTGAAAGTGTGCCAAGTACCTTCCAGTACCATAAACACCAGTCAGTAGTGGTGAAGGACCCAGATAGAGACCAACTTGACTTCTCTGTGGTTAATGAGTTGTGTAGGTGTTGTCTTTAGCAATAGGGCCTTACCATCAGTCTGTGGAGAACAACTGGTTGACATGGCCTGGGTTATGGGTTTCCATATTGCCCCTTTGGTCAACAACTCAATTAGATGTATTACACATCTGGTGCTGGATAATGTATTTGGTGGCAGGTGATGTTAATATTGGAACTTTGTCTTTCCCATTACTTGGTAATTCCATTTAGATGTCTTTCATGTATGTGTATATATTTTAAGAAATTTCCACTGAAATAGCTTTCCATACCCTTCAAATACCCCCTAGTTTTACCTTTTCATCCCATATACCCTACGTCACCCCCACTTCCCTTCCTTCTCCGTTTAATTCTCTCATCCAGCCCTTCCATCCATGCATAACTATCTATTCTATTTCCCATTCCTTAGGAGGTCCTTCCCTCCCCACTAATCCCTTACTCCATAGCTAACCTCTGTGGTTATAAGGATTGTGACCTGTTTTTTGAAAACTTAACAGCTAACATCCATACATAAAATGGAAACTGATTATAAAAAGCTAACTAGTTATAATAAATAATAATTACTTGATAAAATAAGTATAAGATAAAACATTGAAGAAAGTCATAAACACTGAAGAATCATGGACCAGTTATGCTAAGTGCCCAAGTACAGGTGGCTTACCGTGGGAAAAGCTCTGCCAGTCCTATTCCCTTCTCCCACCCCAATCCTCTGCTAGTGGTGTAGGCATCTCTTAGGAGATAGATTGCCTCCCATCTTTCACTACAAATCTCTGTATCTCTCTGCAATGTCTATGTAGCTGAGCCATGAAAGAAGAATGAATCTACGGGGCAACAAGAGAATTTCTCTAAACGATTCCTGGGGCAGGCGTGTAAATATTATTCTAAATTATTATTACTGAGAAAGTCGCACTTACATAGAATTTATCCCAGAGGATGGTGTTACATACAAATAAGTTGCTTTTGTATTTCTTTTACTTTCTTAAGTTTTTCTCTGTATGATCTTTTAAATTGTATTGTCTTACGTCAGTTTCCTCTTTCTTATTTCCATTCTAAGAATGTTTTATTATTTATTCAAAAGACATGCTGGGTTATGTGGTTAGATTAATACAAGAATAGTATTCTTTTGTAAATTACATTCACTCAAAATATGAAATAAATTTAGTAATATCAAGAAGAATTTCCTAGAGATTAAAGACTTTGGATTTCAAGAATATCCATGTTTTCTCAGGTAAATTAAAATTCAAATGTAAAATATCTGTCTTTACTTAGATTTGTCTTTGAACACCAGTTATAAAATTCTATAACTAAAATGGCTTTTCAAAATAATGACTCATAATACTCCATTTTAATTATGCAGGAAATACCACACTCACTTGTTACAATTTGATGGCGAAGGAGGTTGGCGCTTTGAACAGCTGGACACTGCTATCCGCTTAACATTAAGTGAAGAAAAACAAAAGTTAGAGTCTCAACTGGCTGGAATTCCCAAAATGCAGCAGAGACTCAATGAACTGTGTAAAATTTTGGGAGAAGACTCGGTGCTGAAAACAAGCCAAAAAGAAGAGGACACACCCTAATTTATTTTGACATGTTTTAAGTTAACTTTTAGGGAACGCCTCAGAGACTCCCTTCCCTGCATGCAGTATGCTAAGCTAAGTGCAGAGAAAGCAAGCCAGAAAAAAAGTATTTGGTATGATTTTAGCATCAAGGAAGTATAAGATAACTTTTGGAAAGAAAAGAAAATGCATTAGTTCAGATTAGTCGTGACCTCTATTAGTACCCAATGAAAGGCCAACTCACCTATAAAAAAAAGAGGACCTTCTATGTGAATATGTGTGGTCTGAGGTTCTTCTTGTGGGAGAAAGCCCCAAAACAAAACAATAAGGGCAGGACCTGGGTTGACGTCAGGTGGGCAGCATCAGAAGTTTGAGTGCTGCTTTAGCCCACTTACCATGGACAGTAGGTACAACGCCTGAAATCCATAATCAGCGCTGCTAGTGGCCAGCTAAAGCTCTGTACAAGGCAACAGTGTGATTTTAAGAAGCTTCAATATGAAAAAATGTATTTTAACGACAGTGGTTGAAGACAAGCATGGCTCAACAAGCATGAAGTACTGTGTATGAGACTGTCAGACTAATGCAGACACAAACAATTGACTTTAATAAGAATCGTGCATATTTATTAAAACCCCTTTATTTTTAAAAAGAGAATTGCCCGTACAGAAGAGGAGGGTCTAAGCAATGCTTGCACTGGCTGCCACTTGAATCTGCAGTGCTCTATACTTCAATTATTATGCAGAAATACTGCTTGTTTGGTGCCCAAAGAAGCATTTTTTAAAACTTGGATCCTGGAGTTCATAGTTATTCCCGCATTCATTTCATTTATTCTGCCTTTGAAGCGATCTTTGGAGGCAGCTCGTCTTTGCTCATTTGCTTCTGAGAAGACAGATACTCAGATTTATTTTGATCACGTAATTTATTTTGGAAGACATGTAGAGATCAAATGATGTTCTCATGATCTGATTCAGTACTGTTGCTACTACTGCCCTTTCAATTTAACTGAGCTATAATGTCAATAAGAAACGAGATGGGCCAGGTTGGTGGACAGAAATGGAATTAGGCAGAGTAGGAAGTAAGGAAAAATTTAAAGTAGATAAATAAATACAGTTGAGGGCATGGAGAAATGACACTTGCTTCTCTTGAAGGGGACCGGAATTTTATTGCCAGCACCCACATGGTGGCTCCAAAACTGTTTAATTCCAGTTCCAGTGGATCTAAAGCCCTTTCCTGGCCTCTAAGTGCCCTGCATACATGTATTGCTCATTCATATATGCAGGCAAAACACTCATATTCATAGCATTCGAAATAAAGAAGTCTGAAAGATAGTAAAGATATTGAAAATTGGCAAGGCTGACATTATTATTTATTTGGTCTTTGCAAGAAATGAAAAATGAGTAGGAAATGGAATGGCCATTGATCTTTGACTTATAGCACGCCACGGAAGCCAGCACACTACAGCTCTGTACATCTCTTCAATGTTGGAGCATCTTCAGCATCAGCACCCAGAAGGGCAGTACATTGCTGAATATGATGCGAGACAATCTATATGAATGTGTCATGGAAAAGATCTCATCCGTCCCAGTGCGCTGGAGTAAGGAACTTTAATCTCGTCCTCTCTCAGGCATGATGATGTATATGAAAAACGAAGAGGAACAGTTATAGTGGCCTAGGATTTTGTTTACATATTTAGATATCACCTTAGCAGATGCTCATCTGTCATAGACTATTTGAGAGATAGACTACCTGGAAGTCATTTACAATGATTGCTGTAAGAAATTACATTTCCACATGTTCAATTCCACAAAATCGGGGTAATTTGAATTATCAATAAAAGTGATCACCTTACAAGAAGTACTAGAATATACTTCATAATCAGTAATATTTCATTTATCTGTTACTACTACTTCATACTTGTGGGGCAAGAGCTGACGATTTTGTTTAGAGAAAGCATGGAACTGGAAAGTAATGCTTTTATTTTTAAAATGATTTCCTAACCTTTAACAACCATGTTACTAGTTAGCCAGGTTATCACGCTAACGGAGAAATGTGTGAAGTGGCTTACATTAGGTTTTAAAGGCACAAGAAGAAAACTAAAAGTTCACCTTTGAAACTATAGTGTTCATAATTTAAAATTAAACCATTTAAGTACCAGATATCTTACATCTTTAAGCTTTGCAAAGAATGCCAACATCAATCCCAGGTTGATAGTTAGACTTTATTTAATAGATGTTATCAATAAGCTGAAATGAAATACACAAGATTCATTAGATTTTTAAATTCTATACTAAAATTCCAGTCATGGAATTTAAATGTTAAAAGTTTCAAGATAAACAAGCTGTTTTTTAATAGCACTTTTTAAAAAATTACTGATTTTCTGAATTACTTTTTCTGAGACCAGATATCCTGTCTAGGATGGGGAACCTAATGTGAACTTGTGTTAGGTATCACAACATTCTTTCCAAAGTAGGAGGCTAGAGTTGATATTCCAACAGGCACACCTGTAGAAACATGAGCCCAATGGGACATCTTCCTTGCATAGGACAAAGACAATGAAATATGGAAAATAAATATAAGGAAAATCAAGTATAATTTCAGTTGTCAAACTACTGTTATTTTCCTCAAAAAAAGGTATAAATTTATGGAGCTTGATTATTTGAGGGGCTTTACCTCATGAGCTGAATTCCACATTCTATTTCTGCAGCATGCAGCGGCATGCCAAGCATGAGTCTGAAGCTGTGTTCACTCTTATAGACAGGATAATCTCTAAAACACTCTTGAATCACAAGGCTGCTGATCTAACTTGAAAACCAACCCACATTACCCTGTGTTTACACGGGAATGGTTTTCCTTTGATGGTAATTTGACTTTTGTCCCAAATTTTGGTGTGTCAAAAGAGGTATAAACAAATGTGTTGGTTTTTATTTCAAGCATTAATTCCAAGGAAAAGTGTGTATTTGTGAAAGGTGTAGCTTATCTTGATATTTGATATGGTTTTTTTTAACCTGTGTATCTTTAAATCTTGTTATGCAATAGAACTGAAACCCAGAGGAAGTTACGTGCTTAGAGATGCAATAAACATTGTGATGGTGATTAAATTATTTATTCAAAGAGATGCCTCTGGCACAGTTGCTTCTTAAGCATCTGCACCACCATGCTGCTGTTCCAGATGCAGGGGCTGAGAGTTTGTATGCGGACTTTAAATATTGCCATATGAAAGCTTTCACGTGAATGTGCATTTTTAGAATTGAAAACACGTTTCTTCTTCACTTACGTGGCGTTTCTGATTACCTGGTGCCGAGAGATCTCACCAGTTAATGCCAAAACTTCAGGAGCAATTTTTCTCTAATGTGCTCGAGTTGTATTGATGAAAGTGAATGAGAAAAAAAAAAAAAAACCCTGTTGGGATGAGAATCAATACGAAGCTGAGCAAGAATGTGGCTATGATGTCGTCCCCCAGTCTGCGCGGCATGTCCCAGCTCTTGAGCTCAGCACTTGAGGTTTGAATGAGAATGGTTCCCATAGGCTCTTATTTTTGAGTGTTTTGTTTCTAGTTGGTGGAGCGTTTAGGAAAGATTAGGAGATGTGGCTTGGTTGGCGGTGGTATCTCATGGGGGGAAGAGGGGTGGATTTGGGGGTTTCAGAAGTTCACAAAACCAGATCCAGTCTCCCTCTCTCACTGCCTCCATCTTTGGATAAGATATAAGTCCTTGGCTAGGCTCCAACACCTGCCTCCCTGCCTGCCTATTGCCTTGCTTCCTACCATGATGGCCGTGGACTCACCCTCTGAAACTGTAAGCAAGCCTCCACTTAATGGCTCCCTTTTACAAGCTGCCTTGGCTGTGGAATCTTTTCGCAGCAATAGGATGGTAATTAAGGCAGGATTCATCACAAATTCTTTAATCCCCAAGAAAAATTCTTGATTACTCAAGGAGTTGCAGGCTAGTTCAGTGGTGTAAAGTGCCTTATTTGCGGATTATAAGTAACTTTTGAGCTTGTGATTATATATACTTTAGATACACGTTGTGTGATGGTTCCTCACACCTGATTCCATCATTTAGGAGGCAGAGGTAGGAGGATCATCATAGTTTGAGGACACCCTTGACTACATAGTAGGTCCTTAGCTATCCAGGACTATGGGATAAGAGCATGTCTCAAAACAAATGATGAAAATTTGCACATAACATTTCCCAAATAGTTGCTTAATCAATAATTTCTCTATTAATTCAGATCATGCTTTAAATTTTAATTTATGCCAGGCACTGTGCTGAGTTCTTTTGTCTGCCTACAACTTTCTCTTCTTAGAGGATACACAAACTCTTAGTAACTGCAATGTTCATCGTACATAGGAAAACGCATGCTGGGTGGGAGACAATTAAAAAGTGCTTGTTCAGTGGAATATGAATAAATGCGTGAATGAATGAATTGAAATGTGCAATAAGGTAAATGGGAAACACATGAAAATGAGGGTAAGGGTGAATAAGGTCACTGGTGAAAGACAGAGTTCATGCTTCCCTTCATGTCCCAGGAACTAGAACTGTGACGGTCACTCTTTCTTTTTTGTCGACAGAAAACTGAGGATCTTGGTGTTTTGTGCTGCTTGCTTCATCTACTTTTTCTCCTCTTCTCTGCACTAAGAATTAGTCTGCTTTTTTGTTATTTTCAACAGGATGCTCTTCTGAAAATACTGTGGTTTTGTAAATGGTTTTGCTCATGTCAGCCACACATATAATAAAAACGCAACAATACAGAGAAGATCAATTATCCCTTCTAATTCCCTGATACAACAGAAAATCCATATTATATTAACTATTCTATTTGAGTTACTTAGTTCCACTTGCATTCTCTCTTTTCACCAGCTTCTGAAACTCCCAAGTGTGCATTCTTCTTCCTGCTTCGCTGAGTGATTCTCAACATTCCTTATGTCGTAAGGAAAAGGTCTAGGGATCTCTATATCTTGCTATTTTTATGAACAATTTAAGAAGTCTTTATGAGTAAGAGAAGTAAGAGACATGGACATATTTCTATTTTCTTAATATTTGCTTGGAGTTTAATACCATCCAAACAACAAACAATGATGGCTAACTCCCAGTGATAAGAAATTAAAGCAGAAATAGATTGAACTAACAGTTGAGCGCATTAGAAACACAGCACTCTCCCTTGCCTTGGACCACAACTGATTGCACTTCTTGGTTGGTTCTAACCTCTTAATAACCTCAGACTGAGCATGCTCCTTTACTAGCTTTTCTGTGCCTCAGTTTTTAAACTTTTTAGATGTGAGGATTAACTCACTGTATATACAATCACAAATAAACTCATAAATAAAAATTGTTTGCTGTTGAATAGTTGTAATTTATGGCTATTAAAAATAGTGATTTGGATGATTGTGGCACATGTTTTTAATTCCAGCACTTGGGAGGCAGAGGCAGGCCGATCTCTGTGAGTTCAAGGCCAGCCTGGTCTACAAAATGAGTTCCAGGACTGGCTCCATAGCTACTGGGAAACCCTGCCTCAAAAAAGAAAATAACAGTGACTTAGAGGGTGAAAAAAAGATGGAGGACAGAGCAGCAAGCATGGTCAGAGAAGGAGAGCTAGAGTATGGGAGCAGAGTCACAGCAGACAAAGGAGAAAGCGTTGCCAAGCAGAGCTGGTCCCCAGGCTGCAGGGATGCTTGGGCCACCACTGGGTCCACCTTGCTCTGTCACAGCCTTCTAGGACAGTGCCAGAGCCCAGTCCGCATGGAGCCATTATTGCTGCTGCTGCTGCCGCCACCACGGCTACTGCTAGAGCTGTTCACTGCTCGCCCTGCTTGGGGGAAGAGAGCATGGGCTGCCAAAGGCTTCAGACAAGATGGTTGAACTGTCAGGGTGGCCTGTGCCGAGGGTGGGGTGCTACAGCAGCCGGGAGTTTGTGCAGGTTCTGCCCCAAGACACTCTGTTCAACCACATGAGCACCCCAACTCTACACAATAACATGATATCTATGATGAAGAATGTTCGTTTTCTGTGTTAAGTCTCCTCAAAACACTTCCATGGTCCATGCTGCCACAGGAAACAAGTTCTTTTGCAGTGGTATCGATGACTGCAGACTCATAATTGAGAATGAGAGACATTGAAGGCTTCTGTGCCAACACCCCCCCCCAAAAAAAAACCAATCCAAACATGAAGCTATTGAAGAGATTCCTTAAAAAGTTGTGATAAAGATGCTGCAATATAGCTCTTCCTCTTCTCAGTTGATGGCTCCAGGTGTGGGTGGGAAGGACTCAAATTTCCTTAAGGAACCGGATACTGGGAGTTTGACCAAGCTTCAGTGAGTATAAGAACATAAATCGGACTTGTTTTGGGGTTGGAGCAGTGAGGGCATAAAGATGGGAGGGTAAACCTGGGAGGAATAGGAAGCGAGTGTGATCAGGGTACATTGTATGAAATTCCCAAATATTTAATAAAAGCATTATGTTGGGGGAAAACAAAAATCTAGAGGATTACAAACAAGGATAATGAGCTACATAATGAAGACCTTTAGGTATATCACACACTGTGTGTGTGTGTACATTTTTCTGGCCACAGCAACCAGAGTGGTGTTTTCCACTGCAGAACCTAAGCCTATGGTCTTTCTCAGTTTCTCACAACTCCTAGGAAAATCTGAACTCTCTAAGTTGGCCTGCAAGGCTCTGCATCATCTGAGTGCCTTCCCTCAATCTCTTTTCTGATCTGGATGCTTCCTTGCTTGCGGTGGGAACAGCCCCTTCCTTCTCAGTCTCTGCAATCTTCCACAGTTTCTCCCATTTCCCTTCCTGTCACTGCCTGAATTACTCATCCTTTCTTCAGATGGTCAGCTGTGTATCAGATCCCATAGGGAAGCTTTGCCTCTCTCTTTCCAGTTTCTTTTTTTATAAATGTCTTCTTAGTGTTTACTACAGCTGGGATTCTCTTTTCTTTACTAAGGTCTACTCCAATCTCCCTGGAGAGCGGAGAATTCCTGGAAGCTTGCGGTTCAGCTAGTAGGTCAGTTCCAAAAGTAATTTCAGTTTTTGCAAAACTGAAACTTACTATCTAATACTGAAATACATTTTTGATACATGTGATAATGATATATGCCATATATCATCTTAATGCACATTTCTTGCTTTCTTTTTGCTAATGACTTATTACTTGCTGTTTTTTAAGTTCTAAAAAATGTATTGACAGTTTCCTATATTTATTTAATGAATAGTTTTTTTCACTCCCATTTTCTCCTTTCATCCTCATCATTCTCCCAATAAAACCCTTTTTCTCAACAAGTCCCCCTCCTATGTTCACATCATCTTTTTGTTTGTGGTCCAGAGTTTAATGAAAGTTTCTTGTCCAAGCCTGGGTGGGAGGTTACTGACTGGAATAGGAGCAGCCTATCTGTGACTGTAAAAGTGGAGAAAAGAGACCTGCCTCCCTCAACTTTATCATTATGAAAAGATTAGACAAGCTACAAATATGAGCAATCGTCCTATCTGAGTACAAGATAGCCCACAAACTATGAAAACTCAGAAATGCATTTGACTCAGAAACTGCTGAGGAACATGCAGTAGACAGTTCAAGAAGTCTCAAAAGAACAACAGTTTCGAAGATGAGAAAAGTGGTGGCCATCAGAAGTTGGCAAGCATTTAAGAATAGTGATCAAAGTCAAGCCCAAAGGAGAAGCTGCTAAAAACTCAAGTGGTTTGGGTTTGAAACAAGTTGGAAAAAATAGGAAAGAAAAGACTGTCTCAAGAATTGGGCGCCATTCTGTTGAGGGAGCTGCGGGTTGCATTCCTGCCGCTCTGCTCCCAGCCGCCTGGCTATCTTATGCCCCGAAATAACAACACACAAATTGTATTTGTTTAAACACTGCCTGGCTCATTAGCTCTAGCTTCTTACTGGCTAATTCTTACATCTTGATTACTCATTTTTATTAATGTGTGTAGCATACCAAGGTGCACTTACCAGGAAGATTCTAGCCTATGTCCATCCTGGGTCGGAGCTTCATCACGTCTTCCCCAGAGAGGAGAACTATCGAGTCTGAGCTCACTTCCTCTTCCTCCCAGCATTCTGTTCTGTTTACTCTACCCACCTAAAGGCTGGCCTATCAAATGGGCCAAGGCAGTTTCTTTATTTAACCAATGACCTTCCTCCATCAAAGAACTAAATGGAATCTTTTTTTAAAAAAAATCATCATTTTGTACTGTTTTATTCTATGCAATAATGAATAACTTCTTGATGAGATTGTGTGTGCATGTGTGTGCAAGTGCATGCTCATGTGTGTACGTGTGTGTGTATGTGTGTGTGCACACACACACCTCATGCTTGTGGGCCAAGATGTAAGCTCTCAGCTATAGCTCTAGCACTATGCCTACCTGCCTGATGCCATGATATCCACCATGATTATAATGAACTCACCCTCTGGAACTCTAAGTCCCCAGTAAACTGCTTTTTCTATGAATTGTCTTGGTTAAAGTGTTTCATCACAGTAACTGAAAAGTAATGAATACAATAATTTTAAATGGAGAAAAGCTCAAAGCATTTCCAATAAAATATGGAACAACACAAGTATGCCCACTCTTAATATTCCTGTTCAGTATAATTCTTGAAGTCTTGGCTACAGTGATAAGACATGTGAAGGAAACAAAGGGGATGACAATGGGGAGAAAAGAAATAAAATATCTACATATGCAGATGACGTTCTGTATATAAAGGAGCCTAGGCTATACCAGAAAACTCTTATAGCTGATAAATGCATTCAACCCAGCAGCAGGATACAAAATTAATACACAAAAATAAGTAGCCTTTCTATGCACAAATGATAAACATAGCAACCAAAGAAATCAGAGGAACAATCCCATTTACAATAGTTTTGAAAAATGTACAGATTGGATAAATGTTACTAAGAAAGTAAAATAACTATGTAACAACACCTTTAAGATAATGATAAAGAAAGAAATTGAAGAAGACATTAGAAGATGGGTGCCTGCAACATAACAGAAGAACTTTGGGAGACTGCCCAGGCAGCGAGCTGTCACTGTCGATTCTGGAGTTTTGGAAGTTGCTTACAATGCACTTTCTGTTTACTCAGGTAATGTTATGTCCTTCTTGTTCTTTGATGGAGTTGAAGAATAGTTATAGTTATAGTTCTCCTTAGTTATGATAAAAGATAGTATATATAAATACTGTAATTATAATTCTTGCTTGATAACTATTTTGTTATATATAATTTTATTATGTTAAAGTTAGAACCTTTTTCTTCATTTAGACAGAAAAGGGAAAAATGATGTGGGAAATCCTTCTATATTTGTGTTGATTTTCCTGGTTAATAAATAAAGCTGTTTCGGCCAGTGACTTTGCAGAATAGAGCTAGGTGGGAAAACTAAAATGGATGCTGGGAGAAAGAAGGAGGAGTCAATGAGAAGCCATGTAGCCCATTCGAAGACAGATAGAACTTCACCCGGTAAGCCACAGCCACGTGGTGATACATAAATTAATGGAGTTAGCCAGGAATACGCTTAAGCTAATGGTCAAACAGTATTGCAAATAATATAGTTTCTGAGTGATTATTTTGTTTCTAGACAGCCAGGAATGAACAAACAGCCTCTCCCAACAACAGACCAGAAAGACAAACGTTGAGCATTCTCTCAACTCTGGATATTATCTTAGTATCTTCATATATATTATTATATTTGGAAGGCCACAAAGCTCAGGAATTAGCAAGGAGCTCCAGGGAAAAGTCTTTCAAGAGAGGGGAGATAGAACATAGAGGTCTAGGGGGTTGAGGAAAATGATGGAAAGACAATGGTTAATTTTGGTGGGGTAATTGGAGGGCAGAATATAAAAAAGTGTAAGGATAGGATTGATTAATACTAAAGGTCTTTTAAAGAAGACATACAGAATCCTACTACTGTAGAATATTCCATATATATATATGTATATATATACATATATATATGAGTTAATATAATTATCCTGCAATGAGAAGGAAGCAATACCCCAACTGGACACCCCATGCTAGAAAATAAACCTACAGTACCAGGAATAGGTTGCTTATTTTGAGTTGTTGGACAGTTGGTCACGTATACCTTCTTAAGTATTCTAGTTATTTTCAATACTCTTGGCTCCTCTCCAGAACATGACAGTAAGACCTTATTGTTGAAACTACCACATACTTGAGTCACAGACCATGGAGCAATCAAGCTGGTTCTAACCTGGAAACTTCCTACTGACTAGTGTTCGTGGTGCTGAAATGTAATATGTGCACTGCTGAAAAAGAAAAGTAATCACAAATGTCACCCATATG